GCGCCGACCGACCCAAGAGACCCTTATCACCCTCTAGTAATCCCGAAGGTGAAGAGCCAGCCGCAAGTCGCCCGAGAACCGAAGACACACTGAGTGTTCAGGATGTCTCCGATCTCGTGTCACTTGCCAACTCGGAGTCCTGGGAATGCTTGATGGCCGAATACCTTAAGAAGAAGATGTCAAAAGAATTGCCTCATAGCAATAATCCCCCAGAACTTCAACAGAAGGTCCAACAATTCAAACGAGCGGAATGGGAAACGATCACGTCAAAACCACATGCTGTTCGAATGCACTATGGTAAGAAAGCACAACAAATTCGTGAACAGTATGGAAGTCGATTCATCGGCAGTAGGTTTGTTTTGACCCGCAAGCCAATAGAGGAAGGCATGGAGATAGATTCCAATGACTACAATACCTTCACGGTGAAGGGCCGGTGGTGTCTGCAAGGACACCTCGACCCCGATCTCGAGGTAAAGGCCGAACAAGGCCTTTTGAAGTCGCCCACACTCAGTCAACTTGGTCGAATGTGCCTCCTTCAAGTGATCGCATCACAAAAGTGGGTGTTGCAGCTAGGAGATATAAAAGGAGCGTTCCTCGAGGCAGGTCCGCTAAACCCTGAATTTCGTCCACTGTTCGCACACCAACCCGCAGGTGGCATCCCGGGAATCCCTCCTGATGCTGTGATAGAGATTGTTGGAAACCTGTACGGACAGAATGACGCTCCGTCGGCCTGGTTTCGTGAGTACAGCGGGTTTGTCAAATCTCTAGGTTGGCACCAAAGCGTTTTGGACCCGTGCCTGTTCACACTTCGAGATCCAAAAGACCACACGTTAGTTGGTGTGATGGGTGTGCACGTCGACGATACGGCCGTTGGAGGCGCCGGAGACCATTTTGAAATGTCCATCAAACAACTCCGTGCCCGCTTTCCGTATCGGAAATGGCGAATGCAAGGTGGAGAGTTCTGTGGTGCATGGTACGATCAACAGAAAGACAAGTCAATCATTATGTCAATGAAGTCATTTGCTGAAAAGATTCGACCAGTGAATGTGCCCAAGGACAGTTCTCCATCCGAGCTTTTGTCGCCTGGTCAAATCAAGGTCCTACGAGCAGTCAATGGAAGCCTTAATTGGCTATCCTCTCAAGCCAGACCTGATTTAAGTGTTCAAACAAGTCCGTCCCAGCAATCCTTTCCTCGACCGACCATAGAGGATTTCCGGATTGCAAATCAGGCCGTCAGACGTGCCCGTCAGCACAGGGAAGTTGGGGTGACGTTCAAATCAATTCCTTTGAACGATCTAACCATAGTATGTCACAGTGATGCAGCATTCGCAAACAGAGGAAACCACACACAGGCTGGATACATCATCGGTTTCACCGACAAAAAGTTGCACCTAGGACATGAAGCCCCATGGACTCCCGCCGCATGGCGAAGCTATCGCCTACAGAGGGCGGTAAGCAGCACGCTGGCCGCAGAAAGCCAAGCTATGTCAGTCCCTTCAGGAACTGCAGAGTGGATCTTGTTGCTTTTGGCTGAGACCATAGATGGCCCCTTGCAGATTCGCAGCTGCAGGAATGTGCTCAAAAGGCGACAGCCGATCATCGTCACCGACTGCAAGAGCTTGTACGATCACTTACACTCCCCGTCCTCTCCAACATCCATAGAGGACAGACGAACCAGCATTGATGTAGTGATCATCAGGGAAAGCTGTAAGAATATGGAAGCCCTAGTTCGGTGGGTACCCACAAATAGGATGTTAGCAGATGGACTCACCAAGGACGCCGGTGATCCCATCGATCTCCTCCGTGCTTGTATTCGTAGGGCATCATATCAGATCTCCCGGAAGAAACTGTGTTAAAAATGCAAGCTGCCGAAAAACAGATTCGACGGCAAATCCAAGAGCAACGCTTGAAGGATTCGACAGGTTCCGATGGGGATCCAACACCTGAGGGGATCTCAGGTGATCCATAAGTGGCGAACTTGAGTAAAGGTGAGGGTTCATTGTTTGGGAACAATGTAGTTAGGGTCAATACTCAGGTATTTGCAGGTTTTGCTGGTGAGTTTGTGTATACACGTCGCAGCCTTTTTCTCGACTGATCGCTTTGAAGGCAATCGCATTTTGGAACGATTCATCGAAGTGCCTGCTTCTCAGCGGTTTCCTCCCAGCCTCACCATGGCTGGTACCAGTCAGCGTTTGTCCTCAGCAGTTGATGAGTTGTTGCAGAGGGTCCGAGATGAAGGATCCATGGACTCCCTCCTGAAGGAGCTGGGGTATGAGTTGGGTGAATTCGAGCTTGTTCGTGAATCCGAAGGTCAAGGAAGTATGACGGATGCTTCCAAGAGGCGCATGATTGATGAAGTCTCACCACCACCACAGATGCCTATGGTTCGAGCAGCCAAGACTCGTGCCTCGTCCAAGTTGCCGTCCGGAGTGAACAGCATGGAAGAGTGGGGCCGTACACTGGTAACGGCCGGGAAGTTCGAGAAGCACGAGATTTCTTACTCAGAGCTGGCATCATCGAGTGAGACCTCCAAGGTCAAGTATGTGCAGTGGATGATCAATCAGAGTGGCCGCAGTGACCTCTCACCGGTGGTTCAGGACATGGCTGATTATCTTGTGGCCAATGCCCGAGAGAAGGAAGGACATGGCCCGTGCATCCCCGGCTCGAGCGTGGTCCGAAAGTTCAAAAGCTGAAGAGATGAATGCTGATGAGATGGCCGCTTGCCGTTCGTTGGAGCACCCATGATTCACTATGAGCCTTAGGTAAGGCATCCAAGCACTCGCTCCATTCGAATTTTAGAAAATGTATCCAGTTGTGATTGCACGCATGGCAGGCATGAGTTCGTCGTTCCACCAGGGACTTTTCGGCGCGAGGTGAAAAAGCCCGATCGTTCCCTTCAGGCGAAGGGTAGTTGCTCCGCAATATATATATATATTATATACTACGTCGTTTTCCATTGTTGAAAGTGACGCACTGGTTTCTTGTACTGGCATGTGTAGGACCGAGCTGCGTTGCGTTTTCACCCGGAGGGAAGAACATGCTCCTGGGTGTGCTCTCCAAGGATATGTCAAGACCATCGTTGTGCTTCTTGGCCATGTATGTCATCGTGAACTTGTGGTGGGCTGTTTAGGGTCGCATTGCATCTTTTCAACCACAGAAAGGATGCAGGCGATCGACATGCTGAATGTGCAGGGGTTTCGCATCCGGATCTTCCGCGTCATCTGGAGAAAGGGAACAGGTGGAGCACAGTCCAAGGGGTACGGGGCTGGCAGTTGGTCATACTCCACTTTCTTGGCATGCTGGAAGGCAGTTGAAGGGAGTGTTTTCGAGGAAGCTCATCCAGCATGCGATCCAGAAGGATGTCTCAGAATTGCCCTAGGTTCCCATTGCTGGGAAGAAGAACATGTGAGGCAAATCACCCATCTGAGCACTACCTGGGGTTTGGATGCTGGACCAATGAATTTGTTACCAAACGTTTTGAGATGTTTTGAGCATTGCCTCATCAAAGGTCAGTGCTCTATCCTGAGATGGTTCAATGGTATTTCAACATGCACAACGGCAATCAGAGGCCCCATTCTTTGTTCAAGGCTTTGCCCTAGAACATCTGCCATGTCTGCACGTTCAAAAAGTTTCATATTGTATATAAGATGTAAATAAATAAATATATATATATATCTGCCAAACTCTTCATGGAATATGTTCATATGAATCTCCAACATTATGTCTATATGTTTGCATTCGTTTACCTGTGTTATCTCAATATTTTAAGCATTCATGAAAAACACACACGGCCACAACTACCCGCTCTCAATCCCAACTTTGCCACTTTTGTCATTTGACCCTTATCTTTTTGGCTGCTTTGTTGGCGACAGCGGGCTCAACAGCTTCACATGTCCGGCGCATTCCGGTGCCAAGGCACGACCTTCACCTCATTGGGGTCGAACTTGGGCGCCATGGCGAGGATCGACGACTTGCGCAGATCTCTGAGCCGCTTTCAGTTGCAAAAAAACGTTTCGTCTTTTTTCAGCGGGGGTAGTTGTGAAGAACATGGAAGAAGCGGTGTCAAATACTTCTGCCAGAGCGAATTTCTCAGCTTCTATTTTGGCGTCAGTGGGAGGTGAGTGATCGCTGCGATCGTCAATTTTCACCTGCAGCGTTGGCTCTGCTAGGGCTCCACTAGGGCTCCACTGGGCCCTTCAGGGCAGCTTCTCCTTGTCATGCCTCCAGCTGGGGCCAATCACCGGGAAAAAAAGGGACATGGAACTGGTGAGGATTGAACATTTTTGTGTGAGGCACAATAGTAGGCAAAACGCACAGATATAATAAATGATATAGCATAAATATGAATAGAATAGAATAGATATACGTCAAATTTGTATTGCACATTGACTTGTAATGCACACTTACCTAGACAAGTGTCTCAATCTTACTGGGTCCTCTTGTCCTGCAGCACAGAGCTGAACTTGCCAATCAGCGAATTTGAGCATGAGATTCACGCTAAGCCTGCACAAACCTGTATCCAAGAATCTATAGATGGACTCCTGGACCGAACGCTACCAGAAGACATGAAAGAGGAAAAACTCTTGAGTCCAGGCGGGCCATGCCGGCCATGCTTGTATGTTCATTGGATCTATGCTTTCCCAGCTGACTGGCCTTGGCCCCAGCAACAACTTCGCAGCCAGCATGCCCATGAAGCCCACAGCACTGAACATGCTGATGTCACCCCTCAGGGACCTGAGCGATATGGAACGAGGCTGGAACTGGGGAGTCCATCCTACTCAACAGCCAGGCATGAACATGCATGGCTGCATGAATATGACAAGTCTGGAGCTCAAATCCGACTTGTCTTCAAAACAGCAACGGAACGACCCAACTCTTTCGTATTGTACTGTATCACTCAGGACTCTAAGAAGAGCCCGTTCATACATTGTCATAGCTGCTCGTAGTCTGAGATCAACTTGCCAAGCAGCGACTTCACATGCGACTCAAAGGCCTTTTGGTCAACGAGTTCCTGCCGTTGCTCGGCCGAGTCCAGTCCAGGGGAACCATAGGAGACCTGACCCACATAGTCTTCCGATGTCACATGTCCACATCTTCCGATGTCTGCCCATGAGTTGGATGGTCACTGCTGGATGGCCGGGGCCTGGGGACATATTTGCACACGCAACAGTAACAGGCATGTGAGGCTAGGTCGTTTCTTCCAGCTGCTTGGCCACTGCCCCCCTTTGGATGGAAGCTTCTCTTGGACCTGTGGCAGTCTCCACTCACTCGCTCAGTTCTCCTCCTTCATGATCCATTGAGTGCTTGTGGTGGTTGTGCGGTTCTCGTGCTTCTTCGCAATTTGCCTGGGTGAGATGCCAAGGCAAGCCTACGACCGTACCACAAAGAGAAAACAAAACAAGAAGGGCAGTGGATACACGATGAAAAAGTGTGATACACGGCGCTTGCCTACTCACAAGAAGCAATATCCTTCAGAAAACCGTGCGTTGTTGGCAAAATCCTCACATTATAACCACGTCACGTGTATTTTTCCTTCTCGGAGTCCTGGCATGGCTCCGGTGTTGTCTGAACTGGGTCCAACAACAACTGGACCAACGAGAGATTCCACCATTGCCACGGTGGTTGTCTGGCAACCTCTTGCATTTTGTCTTACCATGTCTTACTAAGCCTCTTGCTCACCAGTGTGATTGAAGCAGGACATCCAACTCCGCAAGGGCCCCCCACTTCAGTGCCAAATGCAATCAAAAATACACACGCAATCAGTCAAGCCATTGATCAACGCTGACCAACACACACTCTTCTTCTTGCGACATTGATGTATATTCAGTCTCGAATGACAGGAACAAACACTGCGCCTGAACGTGCACTTGTTGAATGTCATTTTCTTGGCTGGTACCTCGCGTCAAACAGATGCCGGACACCACAAACAAGTACTCTTCGAGCGTCTTTGGTCAGTGCCATTGTGGCCTCGTAGGAAGTATCTGCTCCAGATCCAGCTACATGAGTGATGGCAATTCGTTACAGGTGTTCCTCACTTTCCATCCGCAAATCGGGAAACAATGGAAGCAAACTGGTAGAACACCCACAACTCCCAGACTATCCAAATGGAGTTGTCCCAGTTCCTATCGGAATTTGCTTAAGGCCCGTCGGACAACAGGGGCAAAACCCAACTCAGGTTGAGAAAAGCTGTCATGCAGACTGCCTGCCATACAGCACATGAACACAAACATACAAACCAAAGACTTGCGCAGTTTATGGCAGTCTGGAACCTGCAGTGCGGATGGCCTGCTTGAAGGTTGCAATTAGTGGTCTTTGCTTAACAGTTATATAATATAAGACTTTAAGACAGCCGAAGGACAAAACAACAAGCCCAGTAGGCGAGGGATCCAAAAAGAATAACAATAGCATCAACAGTGTTTGACGGGGATGAAGAAGAAAGTAAAACAAATATTCCCAGATATTCCCAGTCAGCCATGGAAAAAGGACTAGGGAAAGGACAAACAGCAGCAGGGCGACAAAGGGGTCTGGCAACCCCGCACAAAGCAAACCAAAACACAAAATCCATCAAAATCGACCTACAAAGAAGAACCAAAGAGAATGAAAGGATAGGCATGTCGGGCACAGCAGCCCAGGCGGGTCCTATCATCCACAACAAATGAAAGGAATCTGAAAAGCAAGCAATCCAAGAGAATTAGGGGGGCCATGCAATATTTGGAGTGGAGATGCGATGGGTGACCTGAAAAAGAAACTGTTCCGCAGGGGGCCAAAGGACCAGGAGATGAAAAGACCAGGGGACCAATGGACTAGAGGGAAGAGGAGACCAAAGGGCCAGGGGACCAACCGGCTAGGGGACCTACTCAGAATTACTTTTTGATAATGTTATTACATGTTATTACTATTCTGTGGGTGAAGTAGGGGACAACGAGAACAACAGATTGCCAAAGCACCTGCTCCTTGTAAATCGTCTCTAGCCCTCTTGAACCATCAGAACTTAGCAGCTGCCTGAAAGACGTGCCTGGACTTGCCCATTGTGCGTATTTTCACAGATCCCATATCATTGTCCAGTTGCAATATTTGATGTTGATCTATGTTGATCTGATATTTATCATTATACGGTACTTATTACTGTTGATGGTATTTTATGGTGATGATTCCTTTTGGCATCCGATGCAGCCGAGGAGCGCTGGGCAGTGGCTGGGTAGCTGCACCTCAAATGGTTGGGGGTGCGACTTGCTGGATGTCCAGTGAAATGCACGGAAGTTCGTGTTGAAATGACGTTCTAAGCATTTTGGACACCAACTTGGGCCCCTCTTGGGCTCCGCCTGGGCTCCCAAACTCCCGTGGATAGGCTTCGTGCATCCATTGAGCAAAGAGACGGCCATGGAGTGGCACCTGACGATCTTAGAGGGCCCTTCCAATATCTAGGAAACATGATTGTGCAGAAATGCTGCACAAACGGAGACATTGAATGGGCTAGGAAGCACGTACGATTTACTTGAACGCAGAGTTTGCCGGGAACCACTACAGACCACTTGAAGCACGAGCCTGCCGGACAATAGAAGGCAAACGATACCTAACCCAAAGAAAGGGATATGGATATGACTATATATGACTCATAGGACTGGCAGCTGGTATCCTCCTTGCAACTTCGAATATTCCGGCCATTGCCATAATCTTTAGTTGCGCTTTGCCCCATTACAGTATCAAATCAAACGTGAAACACTACTGTAATCATATGTCCTGTTGAGAAGTTGAAACAACTAAGCTCAGCAGATTCTCCAAACCGCATTCTGGGCTCCGAGCCATTCCACCATGATGGCCAGCCACGTCGTCCAGAAGCTGCAAGAGTCGAGGAGACAGCCTCAGCCGCTATTTTGCTGTAGCTATCGTGTACGATGTGGTTTCCTTTGAGTAAGTCTCAGTGCGATACTTTGTCATGTCATTACCTACTTCCTTGTGTGCGATGCAGTGATGATATGTGGTATCGAGCGTCTGATGCCTTTGTGTCTTGATGGAGTGTATCCCGGAAAACCATGAACAAAACGCAACATGCTATTATGGGCAATGGTGGAGGCAATAAGGGCAAAGGCAAGGGACGAATGAGCATGCAGGTTGACCCCGAGATTGACTTTGCCCGTAACATGCGTGAGGCTCTCCCAAAGGCCGCCAAAATTCGGGCACAACCCAAACTACTTCAAGAGCAATGGAACCAAACTATCAAGGAGTGGCAACACCTGGACTCGACAGGAGGCGTTGCGATTGCACCCAAGGAGGCTGTACCCAAGATCCTGGAACGCGTAGGCTACTCCTCAAAGCCGGTTGCCATCCTAGTAGTCCAAGAACCAGATGACGTTGGCATGATGGCTCACCCGCGTTCACGGGTGCGATGTACTTATGATGTCGCTTCGACCGGGGGATTGCGCAAAAACGTTGAAGTGGATCGGTGGTTAGTCCAACTGGGGTTCGCAGAACATATTGCCATGAAGCCTGCGGGAGAAGAGGTGAAGGTTGGCTTCACTATGATTCGCATGGTTGCTAAGTTGAGTCCTTTGAGGGGTTGGTCTCATGGTCAACACCCAGGTGGTGTTCTCACTAACCACTTGAAACAGTTTGTCGATGAACATGCCTTTGATGCAGTTGTCCCTCGCGAAGATGGCTCCTTCCTTTTTCTGGTCCACAATGTCCTTGAGGAGACATTGCTTTCCAAAAGCGGAAAGCAGGGCATTATTCTTAAGAGACACAATTCAGAACCAGAAGCGGGACATGAGCTGCTATGGCTTGACCCTGAGATCAGCCTTGATGATGCCTTGCTTGTTGCGGAGCACGCAGGGGCTTTGGGGGTGGTGGAGGAAGGAAACAAGGGCAGGCTCGCCTTACGTTTTCGCAGTGTTGAGGACCTTACTACCTTTGCCAACTCTAACAAGTACGACTTCGATGCTAGTTTACAGAGGTGGAAGGTTACGGGGGTGCCACTACAGGCAGGAATTCAAGGTCTCTCCCACATGTTGTGCTCGTTGGGTTGGAAGGTTGCCGAGATCGTTTACCAGAGTGAGAATTTGGCAGTGTTTACAAGTTCGAACAAAGGCAAAGAGGCCCTTGCTCGCTTTCGGTATTTGGGACAGCCCCGACACATTCAATTCAAGGCCCTCAATGCTGCCGCAAAGCAAGAAGCTGCGAAGGTTTCCAAAGCTTTGCGTGGTAGTGGAAGCGATGGTGGTAGTGGATTTGACCTTGGTGCTCGGGCCAAAGCTCAACAAGCCTTTTTGCAAAAATTGGCAGCGGTCGCACCAGAGAAGATTCCCAACCCCGTTGATTCCCCCCAAGGCTCCCCCAGAGCCGCGGAAGCCGCGAAGCGCCCGAATGATGGACCCACGGGGGAGACCCCCGGTCCCAAGCGATGAATGGTTTGACAATGCCAGTTGGTTTCACATTAAGAAGATGCATGCTCTTCATGGTAACCATGGAGATGAACACGTGGTGAAATTTTCTCTTTGTAATGTCGCAGGCTTGCAGAAGAGTGGTCGTGTTGAGTTTTTGTCCTCGTTACCTTCACACTTCCTGGCTATTTCTGAGACACATGCGAATGCATACACTCAGAAGTAGAAGTCGTTTGAACGGGAATTGCGAGAACATGCTGTCCTTTTTGGTCATCCGGTTTGTGATCGTGGCTTTGCGGGAGTTGCTTTCATGTATCGCAAGTCAGCAGCTTGGGCTGTGCGATGTGTGTCATTTCTCCACAAACCTTGTGAGCGTTTCTATGCCGATAGCAGGCTGATGTGTGTCCAGCTTTTCCGAGTCGATGAACAACGCTCCTCGATTGTGTATGTGCTTTATGGTAAGTCGGGCGGTCGCTGGGAGCCTGACAAGAAAAAAGACAATGCACAATTGCTGGAGGCAGTACATGAAGACTCCATACGCAGGGGCGATGTGCCTACCATCATCTGTGGTGACATGAATATCACTATTGAGGAATGTCCTGAACCTTTTGAGCGTTACCGTCGTGCTCTTTGGGTTGATTCCGCGTGTTTTGGCCAACATGGTTTTGATTGCAGACCTACGTCTTTGAAGGGTCAGGCGCCCGCATTGACATGGCGCTTGCAAACCAAACGGCTGGCACCCTTGCAAGAGGATATGACTTGAGTGAAGGAGTGAATCCTAATGATCATTGCTTGGTTCACCTGTCATTGGCTCTGCCATGTGCAGCACAAACGTGGTATATGCCCAGAAAGATTGGTTCTTCACAGCAATTTCAGTGTCCCCGATGACTATAGACCGCCGCATGTGGCCACGGACTTGGCGATGAGGAAGTGTCTTCTCAAATCAGACCTTGACGGTGCATACCGGGTTTGGTGCCGCCGCGCGGAACACTTTCTCTTGAAAATCCACTTGCAGAACTCTGGTTTTGATTCCGGACTAGGCCGGGGTCGCGCCGGTTTCAGAAAGCTCACTGTTTTCCCTCCTGAAGGCTCTGCGTGTGCGGACACTGTTTGGTGTTGTCGTGTGGCTAAAGCTCTGCGTCAAACCCAGGAGCTGGGCAGAATGCGACAATGGGGATACCGGGCAGAAGTCACCATTGCCCACATTCGCAAATTTGCCGGTGAGGCGCAAGGTCCGTTTGCTGTTGCAATGCAAGAAGTGCTTGGTGGAGTTCTTTCGCGTGACTCTATCCCGGTTTTGCGGCATGTATTAGAAGAAGAATATAGTCGGGCCAAGCGACTAAGTGAGCAGGCACGCTTGAAAGCGTGGAAGTCAAGGCTGCAGTCATCTGATCGGCAGTGTTACAAGTGGATCAAAGGTGAAAAGGCCAAATCTCCCGCTCCTATGAAGACTCGCTCTGGGGAATACACGGTTGACCGTAATGTTCAGCTGGAGGAGATTTTGACGGAGTGGCTGCCCATTTTTCACAAGTTTAAGGTGAACAAACCTGATGTTGCATCTTTTACCGAACACTTTGGTCAGTTTCTTAAATCTTCTCCCATGTCACTGTCCTCGTTAACTGGTGCTGATTTGGTTAACGCTGCAAGAGCTACCTCCCCAAGTGCTGCTTCTCTGGACAGTTGGCGCCCTTCCGCCATTGCCGCCTTGGCGGTTTGGTTCCCTATGCTTTTTGAGGACCTGGCCGTGATACTCAACAAGGTTGAGGAACTAGGTGAGTGGCCTCAGGATTTGCTCTCCTCCTACACCTCGCTCATCCCCAAGGATGAACAAGCAGTTGATGTGAGCGCAAGGGACTTTCGTCCTATCACTGTACTGGATGCAATCTACCGGCTTTATGCCAAAGCAAGATTTATTGCCTTGTTGCAATGGCAGGAGAGTTGGGTCAGTGAAAAATGCAAAAATGCAGAAACTCTTGCTATCCAGATTGCAATGGACCTAGAAAGCACGGGCTATACAAGCTTTCAGTATGTGGCTGGGGTATCCTATGATTGCCGCAAAGCCTTTGATTTGGTCCCCATTGAAATCGCACTCGAGATCATGCGCCGCAGAGGATGCCACCCCCATATTCTCTCCGCGTTGCATGGTTTGTACAATGGTCTCCACCGTGTTTTTCGTCTCCATGGTGCTGTCGGTAATTAGTGGTGTTCCTATAATGGATTGGTGCAAGGTGACCCAATTTCTATGATCATTCTGAACTCCCTGGTGACTTGCGTGGTGGAAGCGTCTGCGCGCTTGCCTTACCCTGCCCTGCGCATTTCTACTTACGCAAATGATCTCTCAGCTGTGATTCGAGGGGAAACATTGCAAGAAGTGAAGAATGGGCTTCGTGCTGTGCATGCAGTCGTCCGCGGATATGTAGCTTCTGGTTGTGGGGAACTCAACGACCGTAAATGCTTTACCTTCGGCGATGAGCATGTCAATGGTTTGTTGCACCCTGGCTTTCAACACCTGGACCTAGAAGATTTTAGAATTGTCGGTGGCTCCTTGGTAGTTCGGGATGATGCTTCCTTTGTTACACAGCTGGAACAAAAACGTTGGGACAAGTGGAAAGGTAGCATTCGACGAATTAGATACGTTCCACTGGGGTGGAAACAGCGAGCCCGCATGATGTTGGCCATGCAGAGCCAGGCTACATTCGGTCAGGGGACTCACGGGTTGGTCGAGAACGTTGACTACTTGAAAAAGGATGAAAAAGGTCAGGTCTGAAATCATGAGAGAGCCCTGTGGAAAACAGATTTCTATTCCTGCAGCCCATTGGTTACAATGGCTCTCTTGGTGCCTGTGCCACTTGACCCTGAGTTTGGTTCTATCTATGATGGCTTGCGCACAGTGATGAGATTCATGCGTGACCCTGTGGTTGCTTCAGAATGATTAATCTAGAAGATTTGAACTGTCGCCCACATGTTTGGTTGATGGACCAACTGCCCGGTTGCGCGCGCTTGCAGATAGATCTGTTCTTGCTTCCCAGATTCTTCGCCTTTTTCAGCGGATAAATTTGTGTGAAGAAGAGTGGCTCCATAGCTTGCGTGAGACCTGGAGATGACATTTGTAGGCCCGTGTGTCTCGTGAGAGGAGTCAGCATTACGCCGGTGCGGCCCAAATTGACCGTCGACGTACCATGACCTGGTATAATCGGGTATAATGAACTCCAGCTTCTTGCTGACGGCGGTCATTCTGAAATGCCTGATGATGTCCGTGTTGTTGACGCTCGAGTCAAACTTGGAGTATTGCGGTCGATCTTTGCCGGTGGTTTGTTAACTCCTGATCGTGTTGCTCGCCATAGACAACAAGGTGAACCCCGCACTTGTCGTTGTGGTTTGGACCGAGAATCTGTTGAACACGTGTCGTAGCATTGTGAGCAGTATCACCAAAGGAGACTGCTTTTGCTTGATCAGTTGTCATGCTCGGTTGACAACCTCCCCACTTGTGTGAAGTATGCTGCAGTTATTCCTCATGACAGTCGGCTCACTGATGACGTTAAAGCAATACAAACTTTCCTGGTGGATGTTTGGCAGCACCACATCAAGCAGTGGCATGCCGGGATTGATCTTGTTGAGCCAGGCCAAGAGGATGACCGCGGCCAGGGACAAGTGATTCGTTCCGATCATTTGGAAGACAACGGGCATCTCTTGTCTGCACGTGCGTCTGGACCTGGTATTTGGTGTGTGCGATGCGGCAAATTCACCAGCACGCTCAAACACTTTAGACTCAAGATTACACGTCTACCCTGTGCAAATCCGAATGGGCCTATTCTTCAGCAAGAAGGATACAATATGGCCGAATCACGGCTAGATCGTCTCGAACACGAGCTTAATGAAGTATAACACTGGGGGACATGTATTGCAATGGAACCGCAAAATAGGCAAACAGATCGGCTCTCCCGATGAAGGATGGTTGTTGTGCTTGCGTTGTGATCGGCGATGGCGATGGAAGGATCGTGTTGCGAACCTGCCCAGAAGTAAATGTACTGGCACCAACAAGGTCGCCCTCGCTAAGCGAGTGGTAGGCAAGACGCCGCTGTCTCACTGTGAAGTGCGGTCGCGGGCTCGTGATGAACCTGCTTCCTCATCTTCTTCACGTCCAGTTGTTTCTGATCGTCAAGGGGTTGGCTGAACGGTGCAGGACTGGAGTCTAGCTGCTGCGTGCGCTATTACTCCGACAAGCACCAACCTTTGGGATCCCTCGGGCATCAAGAAACATTGTACGCAAGATTGCGTGAACGACTACGATCTTCCCTGGGTGTATTCGATGCACACGACCAAACAAAAATGGAACAGCCACGAGCGCAGGTGCATTGACAGCAAAGTTCATATATACTCGGTGCTACTTATTGTGCCAGTGGGGCAAACCTTCAAATGATCCCAATCGATGCAGGTTAAAGAACACTATTTTGACATGTCTGTCACTTCTGTTTGCTGGTCTTTGTATTTCACTACCTTGCCACTATACATCTTGACATCTACCTCACTCAAGTGCAGACCTATGTCCCCTGTTTAGCCTCTCCTCTGCCATGGGTCTAATTTTTTGTGTTTCTTTGTGTGTTTTTGTTTGCTTTGTTTTCTCAACGTTTTTCTGTGATGTCTTGATTGCTAGTATTTAAATGTTCACAGTTCTAGTCAAATTCTAATTCAATTCTAGCCGGATTCTAACTTAAACAAGTTCATTTGGAATTTGATTTTGGTTTCTCTCATTGATTAATAATTGACTTCAAGTTTAAGTCTAATTCAATTCGTATTTAAAAGCTTTACAAACTTAGCATACTTTTTAAAACCAAAGTTGAACAGAATTCATTTAAAAAGACACATCAACTTTAATTCTAATCTAGTTCTATTGAACTGTAATGTAATTATCATTTAGGTCTAGTTTAATTCCAAATTGAATCTTCACTTCCAATTTGAAGTAGGTTGAATTCTAAAATCGACTTTGAGTTTGTAATTTGCGTTTACTCTAATTCTATCTAATTCTGATCTGAGTAGATTCGTAACTCTAATTAATTTAAGTTTCAGTCTGTAATTCGGTTCTAACCCAATTCTATAACTCAATAAGTTCAATTCTAAATAGTTCTACTGCAAAAAGCATTTTAGCTTAGTTTTCATTCAATTCTGGTTCTAATTCCATATTAATTGATATCTGGTGGAGCTGTAGGCTAAACAATTCTAATTCAATTCTACTTTAATTCCAATTCGAATCTATTTTGACTAATGACACTTTGATTCAATCTTGGTTTAATTTCAATTCAAGTCTAATTTAAATATGACTTACTTCTAAATTCTCCCGAATTTAGTTCTAATTAAGGTCTATTTTAATGCAATATTTAAGTTTTAGTTTGTTTCTGTTTCAATTGCTTTGTAACTGATGCTTAGGTTAATGCAAGTTTAAACCATCTACAATTTAAGTTTAACTATTTTACAATTCTATATCAAACATAATTCCAGACCCCAAGAACACCAATAAATATTTTTGTGTTTGCTTGACCCATGTCTTTTTTGTTGTGTTTGTTTTTCACTGGCCTTGGGGTCTGGAATGTGGTTTTCTGTTTGTTTGTTTGGTTCTTTTATGCTTTTTTCAGCGATTAGGTCATTTATAACCAGCAGATGTGCCAAGCAGAAATTGTTAGTAGTATATGTATGCAAATGAAAAACACACTCCCTAAAACGGATGCACATTGAAAACGCATTGGGAAATATTGAGATATGGTGTTCCGATGTGTTCCGTCGCTCTCCACACCAAGACTTGTCCTCCAAACCACCACGGACTGAGCGTTTCGGCGTGCGGTTGGCCGGCTGGGAGGCAGAAGCAAGGCCCGAGACCTCGGAAGCGAGGCCAAAGACTTGTGTGATCTCCCCGCCCCTCAGAAATTACACTCATAAGGGATGGGATACGACTATGACTACGACTACCGACTACTTCTACTACTACGACTGCTACGACTACGACTACGACTGCTGCTACTACTACTACTCCTCCTACTCCTCCTCCTCCTCTTTCTCCTGCTGCTGCTGCTACGGTAGTCAATTACCTGCTGTCATTGACTTGCTTGGACCAGTGCCAAATGGATTCAACCCACATAAATATTAGTTCGTGCTTGGTCCCCATGCCACGCTTGCAATCTTCTCTGCAGTGCCTGCCCCCGCCGGCGCGACAAACCCGGTCCAGAAAGGTTGCTGGAAACGGTGAAGAAAATCGGTCACGGTGAAATCATGTGATATGACATCTACTCGAAGAAAAGCTGAAAACACGTTTCACAGCTGCAACAGGGTCAATCTTCACTCAATCTTTGTTTATATGTAGATTGGGGGATGCTTTCGGATTGATGTGCAAATTCGCGGTCTAAAGCAAACAAATGAATGAGTGGCCATCTGACAAGAATAAGAATGACCGACCGCAAGCCCGCCAGCCAGATTTTCAACATAGCAAAGTTCCATGAAGAAAGCTAAAATTCCAAAGAGCCCTTCGGCTACATGCGATCTTATGCCACCAAAGCACAAACAATGGTCATGCACCCGCGGCATTCCCACCCCTAGGCCCTAGACGAATCTTCGAGCTCCTACAACTGTCCATATTCTATGATGCTCCAACAAAGTCCCCGGGAAGTGGACCAACCACCACAGAACTTGGCAAGTTCCAAGCTGCCCATAGGCGCTTCCAAGTTCTTCTCCACCTGAGTGGTTCAGCCACGGGGCAGAACATGATAGCTGTGTCTCAAGGCATGGCAGAACATGATTTTCAAGCACCATTCAATACCGTTGCGCAAAGCGATCGACAAAACCTCCAAATTGAACTGGTTCATACTGGTTCTGATCTTCGCTTCTCAAATGCCCTTGAAAAGCCGAAGGACCACTTTATTCACACCCCGGCTGATCTGCAAACACCGCACGCGGTGATTCAACAATTGTCGCACCTGATCCATCAAGGCCTCACACTCATCGAAGCAGCCTCAAAATCAGTGGTGTCTGCCCGGTGGCTAGACAAATATGCAAAAATGCTCATGCTCCGGTTCCACAACTGTTAGTATAGCTTGTCACTCCAAGAGTGCCAACTAGTTCAGCCCGACTTGAAATCTACACGCGAACCCACAGATTCCATGTTAAGATTAATGGGCATGGCACCACTTCATACGTCCTCCAGTCGCCAATCCGCAGCGTCTTGTCTACAGTTAGTATGAGTTATGAGCCAGTCTTTGAAAAGAGCCCCGGAAACAAACAGTAACAACATATAACAACAATATGCAATACTGGGACCCCCCCCTCAAACCAACATCCGGCAAGCTCGGGAAATCTCGTGGACACCCATCTTTCAAGGAAAAATCCGTGGAATTTGGGACCGGCCCTGAGTGTCCAATGGCAACCCACTTCTTGGCTAAAAGTGCAGCTTGGCAGCAAATGCTGTAGTAGCCTGGCAGCATTGGATCTCCATCAACGAAGCTTCTTATCCACACGACTATCTGCACCTTTTCTACAGCCATGTCTTCTCCTGTCTTCTTTGTCTGAGTGACATCGACCCTTGAACATCTTCTACTCCGAGCTATCCCCGCCCGCCCAAATTGACCGCTAGGATTACTGGGTCAGGGTGACTGGTGAGGTATCGCTGGGCCATGGGTGTGTGGTGGTTACGTTTGGTGTTGTCATGATGTGTGTTATTGCTTGTTGTCCTGGTGTCGTGTCAAGTAATGCACGTGTTGTGGTTGTGGCGTGTTGCTGTTGTTTGTGTCATTGTTTGTAGTGAGTGTCCTTGTGTATTGTCAGGTGTTGTTCTGTGGCCCTGCTTGGTCAATTGGTGTTGCGATGGTGTCACTGGCGGAACCACTAGCTCGGCGGGATGTGCTGTGGTTACTCACGTTTGGCATTGTCATTGTATCGTTGCTTCTTGCCAGTTGTTTGCTATCTGGGATTTCCTGACTACTGCTAATTGGTTGCATGCCCCCCTCACTTGCGGGCAAGCTACTTGACCTGCCATCTGCCCTGTTCTGCGGTTTGTCAGCAAGAGTGCCCATTTCCCTTCACTGACAATGACAAGGCTTGCTGTACCATTTCAACATCTGCAACCTTCCTGGCCCTGTCGATTTCTGGCCCAACGTTTACCTATGCTGAAGTAAGCGGGATTGCACGTGGGGAACAAGCTCGAGGCTAGCAGTCTTAGCGTGTATTAGTATTGGCTTGAAGTTGAGCGCTTGCACTGGCCACTGGTCATCCCCATTCACCATAGAATATTGCAAACCGAGCCACCAGCAGGCTGGACGCAGTTAGATGGACTGGCCAGGTAGTTTGGAATAATCACCTGCACCGAATCGGAGATCCCACCCCCCGATAAACACCATCACGACCACGACCACCTGACTATTCAAAACAAATGTCACCCCCGGGTGAGAAACTATTTAATTTATAAGGGATCAAGCACTTCAAAGTGGCAATAATGATTGAAGGTTGAGGCTACCCGTGTGAGGATGCCTGAGCAAACCTCTGAAGGCATCGCTGGTTCACAACTTGAGATGACCACTGCACTAACCCATTGAGCTAGATTAGAGCACTGGCCCAGGGTTCAACCAGTTCAGCAAAAGAATATCAATGTTTGACAACTAGAGCCAAAGACTTGGCCAGCTAGCCAACCCTGTGAACCAGTTATTCCTGTAAGTCACCTCGCACGCACGCACTTCCGTGCATGCTTCTTGAGCGGCCTATCAAGAGTCTTCAATCGAGGCGCAACTCTAGTCAGACTGCTGAAAAATCCAATGCTAGGCTAGGAATATACAGTAAGTCTGAGTGGCTCGCCAACTTTCAGCAGCCAAGCAGGGTCGCGTGACGTGTTCAAACTTACAAGTGCAAACAGCTCAACTGCTGTCTTACATGTCATTGTCTGCCATGCTTATACAATGGCTCCCGGTTGATCGTTCACCCATAATCGAAACAGTGAAGTTCATTGCCCTCAGTTCGGCACCTTCACCGCCCTCTGTCATTTCTCCGTTTTGCATGTAACACATGTGTTTACTGTACACCTTTGCCTGGCATCTTGCAGAGATTCTCAGACTCTCCATCTCCCAAATCCGCCAAACATCCGGTTGAGCGGCTTCGGTCCGACGCCTTGGGATCTTCGGGGTCTGATTCATCCAGCACACCACTGGAGCGCAAATAGTCGGCACCCTCGGTGAAGTGTTCCTGATGAACAGCGAATGAGTCCACGCTCCGAGAGATGCTTTCTCCAAATCGTTGAGGTATATTGTTAATGTGCACATCCGTAGCACGATTTGAAAGAAAAACACACTATCAGTCGATTATAAACAAATGATTGTCTTCGCCCAAACAAATCCACTCAATCTGATCTCAAAAACGGTATAATAATCTATCAACTTCACCTAAAGTACTTGGCCTTCATTTAAAAAAAAAACACAATAGTCGTCAAATAATTTGACCCCATCCTTGTGCAGTTTGATCCCGACAGTCAGAAACCAATACTCGCCTGCTTGATGTTAGAACAGCTCAGATTTTAGAACGTAAAGTATGAACACGTCCCAATTAATAAACATCTTGCTTGATCAGTGGGTTGCAACTGGTTCTAATTTAGCGTTGACTTGCTGCTACTAAATAAGAAACCGGTGTTCAAACTTCTAAGGGGTTACTAGGTTACAATAATAAACTTGACTTACCGCCTTGTAGCCAACCCGAAAATATCAACGCCTTTTAAAACAAAATCCAAAGGACTCAAATAAAGTATGTTCAAAAGGATGCCCCGTAGGCCCGTAGGAATGCCAAGGTCTTATATGCAGTTCTTTGCAATTGTGAAGAGCTGTCAATCATAAACTGCCCTTTCAACTCTAAAATTAGACTATATATATATAGGCAAACTTATTACTACTGTGCACTAAGAATCGTCCTTATTCCAACAATGATCGGACCTTACCTTCCTCCTTGACAAAACTAGGCCTCTTGTTCTAGCAAATCCTGTTCATTTCCCTTTCAACTCCTTTGACTTACCTTTTGAATCCTTTTGATTCTTCCCAATTTTGAGGTCCGAGGCACATTACCACAGCGAACCATTTTCTGCCAGGATACTACGGGGATTCCGTATTGCGATGTGCACATCACCAGTGCATGGTTCTAAGAGGGGTGAATGCTGGAAATCATTGTGGCTACGGCTACACCCAGCTTGGCCATGGAGAACAGGTGCACAAGGCGTTGATGGCTTAGCAGTCTAGAGTCTAGAGCTGTCTGAATTGTGACTCATCAGCACGCAGTACTCAGGTTTCAGCCGCGGTTCACCGGTCACAAGAAAGGCCAAGAATCTTACGAACCAGTAGGCAGCGTAGACAGCTTGGGGGCTCCCATATCTAGACATCGGCATGAAACAATGCATCCACAGCAGGGTCCTGGTCACATCTAGCCCCTTCACGAATAACACAAAGAAAGCAAAGACCAGTTGGGTCAGACCAAAGCCATCGAGAACAGCAGCAGAACTTCTATATAGATGCAAGGACGCTAATTAATTACTAGGGCCTAGGGTGGAGGCCATTCCTACTAGCAAGAAGCTAGTAGCAACGAGCCTAGTAGCAGCTACTAGGCTCCATAGGCTCCGTAGGCTCCGTCGGCGGCGCGCGCCTGGTCTCCGTAGAAGTCACCCAAGCCTTGAAGCATCGGACCCTCCGTGCCGCTCGGCCGCAAAAGGGCCGCGGAATCGGTGCCGGTGATGTCGGTGGGACACCGATCTTTACATCCCAAGGACTTGGGAATGGGTAGTGGGTCCATGTTGGTCCCTTCCAATCTCATGTCCACCTGGTCTATTGTGGCAATTTCTTGGTATGCAGTTTGGAGTCAAGTCCTATGCATCTTGATCAACTTGCCCTCTACGCCCTGCAGAGATCTCTCAGGGATCTATCAGGCTATCATGCCCGAGTGTTGCATGACAGTAAGGTCAATTCATGGGCATCCCATGGTATCCCTTGCGACCTGAGCGTGGGGCCTTTTTCCTCTTCTCCTAGTTAGCTTCTTGGCCCAAAGGCGGAGGATGTCGAACGAACACTCTGTGATCCAAGTGACGCACCAGACCGTTCCCGCTATGATACTCGAGGGATGTCAACTTGTTCTTCATCACCTGCGTGGATAGTGTGAAGACAACATGATATGAGGAGGCTGTAACTCAAACTCGGTAGATAGTACATACGGTTACATACGCGATAGATAGTACATGATAGTACTTGGGTGTAGTACGCGTGCATGATGGCATTCGCGGGTAGTTGGAGCACTCCGACTCTTCCCCCTCATTCTTTGCAAGGCCTACATGTAGAAGTGTCACACGTCCTTCTTGGGCCGCCATTGACATGAGCTTGGCCAACGCCAAATCTATCTATGTTGTCAAGAAACCCATCAGTTCCCAACGATGGTGCACTGACCTCACGTTGCTTGCCTGGCATTCGTTGTCCTCCAATGCACCCAGGCGCTGCCCAAACTTGGAGAGAATCTTCTGCAAAAGTGCGAAATCCTCACTTTCATGAGCTGGGAAAAACTCTAGCTGTAAGGCTTCTTGGCTCAACAGAACGCTTCGGTCGACTTTTTCAGCTCTTCGGATCGAACGGGGGACACGACTGGCGGCCATGTGCGCGGCTTGCATCGACGTGAAGACTGGGACTTCTGACTGTTTGCACTGGCATGAGGCTCTTAGGTCTTCCTGCCAGTGACAATAAAGGTGGGGCAAGACTAGGTTACCCATGACAAGGGGCTGTGCTCCAATTGACGGAGATGATAGCCCTTCACATGCTTATCAAAACAGGGGTGCCTGTGTGCGTGCGTGTGCTCGCTTTGAAACAGCTGCTGGTCTCTATTCATGTCGCTACGCGACGAACACCGCCCGCACCAGGATAGCACATTGTACATGGTGCGTCAGATTGATTGATTGATTGGTTGGTTGGTTGATTGATTTATTGCTTGACAGTTGAACCCAGCATGCTCCAAATTTGGCTGTTATGGAAAGGTTCGGCACCATGTTTTCCTCTTGTTGGGTCCATGTCGGGAACATGACCCGGAAAAGTGTTCCATGGACGCCAAGCTTGCAGCATGTTGGGTTCAACAGGCTCAAGCTGGATGTTTGGCAATCACAAAACAGGACTACATGCACCAAACCCTCAGGTCCCTCAGGTTTTGACTGTCTCCCTCTCACAAGTGCATAAACTAGGCTATGTTGGACATTTCCGGGCAACATCTTCAAAAAATGGGCTCATTTTGGTCCAAGTTGCAGGTGGCCTCAACTTGAGCCGAAGTTGTGGCCAACTTTGGGTCATGTTGCAATTGGGGTGGTCTCTTGGGCCAAGTTGTCGGTGCAGGCGGACTTGCCAAAATAGCTACTTAGTGTCATTCACACAGTCCCTCCCCATAAGCTTCCCAAGGCACTCTAGGGGGGAGCTGACTTCAAGAAAGCCTGCCAAGGCAATACCAAGGCTCATAGACTGCATCACTGGCACGAGGGCCAACCACCTCCGGACGCCGAATGGGAACGCGACTGGCCCCTCCGCTCAAACATCGAACCGCCCGACGCCTACGGGCGTTGCCCGACTCGCGGGAGGACGTGACCCGGGGTGGTTTGGTCATGTTCGCCACGGGCTTCGTCGGCCTCATGAGCAATCTCGAAGAGCAGCGCTTGGGCTTCCACGTGCCGGGGGAACCTCTGAGGAGGACCGGAGGCCGGAGACCGTGCTGGACCCAAACACACGGGATGAACACATGTCAATGGATGTCACAGATTCATACAGTACGAATCCGTATGACTTGGCACTGAATGTGGTAGAAAACACTATTCAATCATGTTCAATCTAGAACATGTCACGTCATGAAGCCATCATATGGGCACCTGAAGGTGAACTGCCGCGCAGCTCGGGTCACATCTCCTGCACAGCTTGGAAGACAAAGCTCTGGGTTCTGGGCGGCACTGTCTGCTTTGAAGATAAAATCCGGGTGGTCGCTACATGTCCCTACTGTTGAGGGTCATTTCCAAAGTTCCTGTGTCATACTTTCCTGGGATGACACACCGCAATCTGATCTTTTACGTGTCCGTGTCAGCCGGTCAGCCCTTCCAATCTTTGACCTTCCGATTCCAATTCACTTGTAACTTCCAGTATGACCCAGTATGCTGGTGCCACGGTGCCCCCCCAAACCACGCGCAACATACACAAAGCATCAACTGAACAATGGGACCAATGTGATAGGCAGGGCAAACAAACAAGCCCACCAACCATTCTGGTTCCATGTTCTTTCATCAAACTCGTTTGGTTCAATTGGATTCTGTGTCTCTCACTTTTGGGGGGTCTCCCCATGGCCATCTCAGCCATTTGGGCCAACCTAAGCCACTGCACATCCACTGCCACTGCAGGGATTCACCCAAAGCTGCGGGCCTTCTGTCAGATTCTCCACTGGAACCCCCGAGATGAAGGCGGCCACCTGACCGGCTTCTTGGGAAAGGCCCGCGACAAAGTGGCTGTCTGGTCCACGTCAAACGAATCTGTCAGTGGAGCGATGTGGACTGCCAATCCTCCACCTACTAGCAATGGCCTCCACCCTACTAGCGATGGCCTCCACCCTAATAGCGATGATTAAAGTGGACAGTCGGTGATTGGCCAAAGTTGGCCGAGATGGATCACAAGGGACGACCATCCAGGGGTGACAATGACACTACCAAGCAGCTGATACACAGAGTTCCTTGCAGCCGAGCAGCATAGTTCCACATCAAGGCATTGGCCTTTGAGGAGGGGCAGAATCTTCCGTTTCTTGTCATTGTCAGGTGGATTTCCAAGTCTTTAAGTAATTATGTACACCAAAGGCTGCACTTCTACATCATACAAAACCAAGTCCGGTCACCCGCATGGAAAGCGGCCCCCCTGGCTTTCTAGGCTTTCCATGGCCTTGAGCTCCAATATTTGCCCACCGGCCTCATCCCAATTGCTCTTCGCCTAAGAACTGGCCCGCTCGCAGGCCGATTTCGGTGCGACTGCGACGAGGACGACGACGACGACGACGACGACGACTACTGCTATTGCAGTAGTAGGTGACATCGATAGCTTGCATCATGGGGGGTGCCTTAGATACCCTTGACGGTCGATACCTGCAGGAGTATTAACAAAATATTCCAGCGCAGTGTCAGTTATCCAAAATTAGATATTCCATAGGTAGTTTAGTTAGTGGAATAATTACAACATGTTTATATTCCACAAGCATTCCAGTTATTGATAAAACATATTCTGGTATGCTTCCACATGCTGTCACAGATCTTGAAAAAAGTGACCACAAATGCAAAGGCGCAGTCGTATGTCAGCTTCTTTTTCCTTCGCCCCTGAAGCTCTGTAGTTTCTTGATCACTCTAGATCTGTGTGAGCTGAATGTTACGCATTCAGTCGCATTCCAAAAGATTCCAAAAGCAAACCCCAAACATATCATAGTTTTGATCAACAAATCGAACAGGTAAAAAAGTGTCGACTCAAAAGTGTACGAATCCAGGAACTTGCCACTCAAGTCAAGTGGAACAGATCGAAACACATCGAAGACTATTGTGCCATACCGATACCTGAATAGAAATCCAAACAACTGGTGTTTGTTTTCATACCTTTGTTTGTTGTTTCTTTGTTTTTGGTAGCATCCTTGCTCATGTTAACTATTCCAGGGGTATCCTGGAGGCCACATAGTGCAGGAATAAAGTAAAATATGTTATTCTGACCTTTGATGATCCAAAAAGGACATGTCATAATTTTTCATATCTAAATATTCCAGGGGTATGGGTGATGCAACACACCACAGGAATATAAACCAAAAAAGAAAACTGGGAGGATTTGTGGAAGTGAGGACGGTGAAACATATCAACAAACACGCTTGGAAATTCAATAACATTCCACTGTCTATGCACTTCGACTGTTCGACCTCAACATACCTCAACCGTTCGACCTCGAGCTTATCATAGAATGTCGAAATGTGTCGAAGCATGTCGAGTTATGTCGAAGCATCTCGACAGCAACATCGCACAAACCAATCGTATCAAATCTTACAGGTCCCTTGGGTTAATATTCCAGATATATACTGAGTTGTTGCAAATAATGTGTTGACATGGCATTCTGGAATTGCTTCTTCTATGTAGTGCTGCCAACATATCATCTTAACAAAAAATATTCCAGGTATGTGTCCAGTATACAGTATCCAATACCTAGGGCTATAAATATTCCCCAAAAAGTATCTTTTAAAAATATATATATATATATTCCATGAACTCACGGTATAACCTGGAATATTTACCCAAGGTACCCCCCATCTTGCATCAGCTGGCAAAAATTGCTTCAACCTTCCCATCCTTCACCGATCTTCACAGGGCTCCATGCCTCCAAGGCCAGCTGTCTCTCAGCATAGACAATGCCCAATCGCTGCTCCACATCTTTCTCAAACATTCCCTCCATCCTCATGGGCCATGACACGACGGCGGGGGCAACACCCACTTAGGGCACAGCACATGCAACACATAAAAATATACACATAGACTCAGTAGCGCTCAGTAGATTGTCTGATGCACCAACATTCTGTATTGCCTTGGACTTCACATTCCAGGGGCAACCTGAATGATCGCTTAGCATAAGAAGCTCGCCGGAATCCCAACCCTAAGAAAGCAATAGGGCAACAGGATGCAATAGGTATGCCTCACAAGAGCTCGTAGAGCTCGGTGGTTTCTTGGGCGCCCCCACGTTGCAGCCAGCACGGCCAGCTCATGCAACGTCAAGCCGTAGGACCCGAGGCGATCCTGCATGGCAGGGTGGACAATGGGCCCGAAGAACAACCGATGAACAAGATTGAACAAGACATCGATGAACAAGTGGCTTTTGGGTGGCCTTGAAAACCTGGATGTGTTCACCTTGGCTAAGACGTGGCAAGACGTGGACCTTGGTAAGGTTTGGTCCCATGTGGCTGGTGTCCTCGCCTCGAAGAGTTCGCGCCTCGGAGTTTGGGCGGGCGGGTCGTTTTGGACTTGCTTCCAGAAACCAAAGGAGCGCAAACAGCAGGTTGTGGATATGGATATTTCCAATCAAGAGTTCCGTACAGCTAGGTGCTCAAAAATGCAAAACCTGAAGGAATCAGAAAAAACAGGGGTGCTGGAATGGCAGGAAACGACCAATAGCCGCAAGCCATGTCTATATAAATATTGCATATCTACGGACGGCGCTGGAAAGCACCGGCCCAGTCAGGTCTCCCCACATTTGTGGAGGGACACGATCCCCCATGGCGAGCACCGGTGACTCGACATTCCAGGAGCCTGGCCAAGGACGTTCCGTTCAACGGGGAGATCCACTGTGACTGTGCACGAAAAGGATCCACATATTTCGTATTTCGTATTCTTTGATCACACCCAGTGGAAGCTTACTGTAACTTCCTCAACATAATCAAAAGTAATCACATCACCCTCATCAACCCAATAAAGACCATTGAAGCCTAGTGAGTCCAACAGAACCAATCTCGGGGCTGGAAAACACCAGAACGAATGGCCCCCAGCCGCACCTCCCGCAGACTCCAAACCCTTGATCTGCCAACCATGGCGTTTGTTGAAGAGCCTTGGCAGAGGTGCATGTCGAGGTTTATCCAATCGTGCCGCCTATATCATCCTGTATCCGTTGAGTGTGTCACAAAGTGTTTGCGTGCTTGAGCCTTTCGAAGCTTCCAGGATACAGTGGCAGGGTCTTGTTGCGTTGAAAGCATGTTCGCAGCAGCATGCTCCGTGCCTGTGCAGGGCATAGCGTGCGGAAGGTGCTTCCAAAGCACCGCGCTGGTTCTTGGGAAGCGCCTGCAGAAGGCATTGAGCCACTTTGAGCGCAAAGCAATTGCATAGCAATCTTAGGCATGGCGCGGCTGAATCTTCCAGAACACGTTCATCCAACGCGAGTTCTTCTTGTAGAGTTCCAACGGCAGCCTCCCTGGGATGGAGCATTTCGGCACCTGAAGGATTCCTCTACTTCCAGTTCACCACCCTTTCCTTTGATAGCCACTGTTTTGTGCCTTGAAGGTCACTCGTAGGTCGTCTTCCAATCCCTGCAGCCGACGCTCCGCCGCCTGGACTCACCGTGCTAAATCACGAATTCGTTTGCACGGGTGTTCTGTCACTATGTTAGTGAGAGGAACAGGTTTCAGCATCAACTCCGTGGCTCTAAGATTTCAACATCGAGAAAGTAGTTGCTAGTTGAACACTTGGTATTCTGGCACTGTATGTCCCATCGTCTCTGATCGCTAGTTTGCAGAACCATCCAAGAGGTCACCAAGGGACTATGCGGATCTCAAACATTAAATCATAATGATTGGCAGGAGCCGTGTTCAGAATCATTTATCTATATAAGTTTGAATTGATCTTCACGACTGACGAAGCACGGCGACACCCAAAGTAAAAGAACGGCCCCACATGAGCCGACTTCCAAAATACTGTGGTGTCGTCATCCGGAGGCATATTACTGAGATTATTACTGTAAATCAGCCCTTCCGATAGTCCAGGCAATCTTGGGAATCTTGGGTATGACCCCTAAGACAATGGCAATCTTGAGTGTGGCCTCAACTAAATGGACCTCAGGGGACCTCAAGAACAAGCATCCACAACCCCCACAGCCTCGCCCGGTGCTGCTCTCAATTAGTCTCAATGGATGCCTCCCGGTGACCAGCGCCCAAGACCTCCTCGAGCTCTTCCAGCAGCGCCTCCCGATGCTTTCGAAACCAACTTAATGAGCAGTTCTGCATGGTCTGCTAGACTCCAAAAAACTTCCTCTCAAAAAAACGTTGTGACAAAAGTTGGACACAATGTACAATGAGTTGTACAATGGTAAAGTTACATATTAACCGTGCTTTGTTCAAGAGGCATTTCAGGTTTCTGGACATATCTATATATCATTACACATGGATAAATGGAGTTGTTTACAAAAACGATGAAACATGTATATGTAAAAAGGACAAAATCTTAGAACATAGTTTTGTCCAAACGACCAAACTCATGACTTATATAGAACAAAAAAAGGGGGCGTGTGTTTAGAACAGAAAACCTACACACTGAAAACATATCCACCCACAACCGGTAAGAACATATCCACCCATCACTTCGAACACACAAAGATTGGGCTTAAAAATGTGTAGTGTTGCCTCAATGATAATAAAATCCATATGGAGAGCCTGCAACGTAGAACATATCAAAGTCGTGTGCCAAACTCTAGATAACACACCCAAGTCTGCACCAAACTTCTTTTTCCTCAAGGGGGGTGCTCCACCCCCATCCGTGGTATTGCCTTCCCGATGGGCAGATGCGTTGTGAAACCAAGTCTTTGTGCACAAAGCCAGGAACTGTGAACCAGCAGCAGTGCAAACACGCTTAGAACATCTCGGTGCACATGTATTGACTTGAGAGAAGAGGGGGTGAACGAAAGGTAGCAGGCAATCACAAGTAACCCTGGTAGAAGTCCATGACGGCGTCAAAGGTGGATGGATGTGACCCAAACAGCGACGGCGCAGGGGGGGAATGATCCAGGGCGTCCAGGGGGGGCCCCCCCCCCAGTCGAACAGAATCATCTCTTACAGGACCAAATTCAATGCAAATCACCAAATCCTGATTGTAATACATGTTTGCTAAAGCAAGGAGAACTCAGGTAGCTCAAGCTACCTTTCGTAACTTCCAAGTATGAACACGATGCTTGCAATCCACACATGTTCTTGGTCTGTGGTTCTAAGTGTGTGGTTTTTGAGTCCATGTTCTAAGTCCACGTTCTAATCTCTCGTTCTTAGTCTGGCGCTTAGAACAAGTCATTGTTTTCTCCATCTGATGTTCTAAGTGGTTGTCTACCACTATTATATCTAATGTGTGTTTTATAACGTTGTAGAAATACATACATACATTGCTTTTCATGGTAATATCGGCATCACATCTTCCCAGGTCAGGTTCCAACATCCTTCGAGCGCCTTCGGCTCTTGTGGCCCACGCAGTCCTGTCTTTTCGACCTTGTTTTCGCTCGGCTCGATCTTTTTGTGTCCAAAACGCCACCCCCAGGGCTGCCGGGGCTGCAGTTGAGGGTGCACAGTCAGAAGCACTTGGAGTTGTTTGGGATGTTCGAACATGTTAAGATGCTCTTTTTCCGGGTTTCGACCTTGAACGTCTTGAGGTTTTGCTCGCACATGAAACCAGCCGATGAAGTGGTGTTTTCTCTTCGGCTCACACCATTAAGAGATGAAATGAGCAGCTTCGCTCTCCTGACTTGATGATTGTTTTTGCTTTCCAACTCTTGTCAAACATGATTCTGCTAGATAAAACATCCACCTCCTTGCCCCTCCTTGAGCGTATTCAGCTCTTTGACTTACAAGTCAATCAAGACATCTAAACGCATTCACACAAGCAAAATGATTGTACATGTACATGGTACATTTCTCTGACTTGACAGGTTTGCCTATCTAGCTAGACAACATTTGACGACCTACCTCCTTTCCATGTCAAGCGCCAGGACACTGCCCTGGCCCGGCGTCGGAAGCCCTCGCCCTGCGCCCAAAAGAGGGCGAACAGGGCCAACCTGGCCATCCACGAGCGAGAACTCCACGCGTGGACAAGTTGGAAGCTTCACAGGTCATAAAAATCAGATACCCAGGGATGTTCAACTCCCTGGGCTTGTATAGACTTATGGGGGTCAGTTCTGTAGGCATAAAGACGATATGGCAGTTGCAACTCCAAATCGGCCAGCTGTGAATGATCAAAAGCCAATCGACGCATTACCTGGGCTCCTTACAAAGCTTTTCCGGCAATTCATGACACTGGTGCAACCAAAAACAACTACATATTGCATTACAAAGCCCATTACAATGTATTGTTCTTGGCGGGAACGAGTGGCTTATGCAGGAAAACTGCTTCGAAGAGGCGCACAGGGTCACAATTGAAACAAAGTGCTTTCAGTATATGCGAAGGGCAGGGCACCTCTGCATAAGCTTCATTGGCACACAAGTCAAAGAGACCTTGGCAACTGCGTGGCTCTGATACAGTTTTGCAATCTCTCCTGATGGCACAGAAAAGTAGGTCCAATAAACACACCAAGCAAGTTCCAAGAAACCAAACTATATAATTACAGTTTACAGTGAAAACCAAAATGTCACAAAAAGAAATGGTTTCCTCTCCATTTGCGCTCTGAGCCGCCCGAAGTTTCTTGGAGGAAAGAACAGCCGATGCTCGGGGCAAACGGCTGCAAGGAAGGCCAACAAGTGGCCGACAAGGGTTTGCCGTTTTGACGTGAGCACCAGCCAGTGGCATCTGGATTGGAGATAAAGGAAAGGGATTCTGGGATGGTGGTGCAGAATGCAAACACGGCGTCGCTCTAGCTGATACCTGCGCGCAGCTCATACTTAACCCTCTAGAGTACAATCACTAGTACAATCCCGCAAAGGAGCCTCACGTCCAATTGATTATGCCACACTCGGCATGAAATGTCCTGAACAGTTCCAAAAATGAGCAGTCGACCCATTTTTGGCAGCGTTGGCTCGGCCAAGGCTTCACTAAACAGTCAGGGCTCTACTAGGACCTTCATGGCAACTTCTCCTTGTCATGCCTCCGGCTGGGAGATGATCGGGCATTTAGTGTGGCTTAACATGTTACGTCGCAACAAATTTGGTACACCCTATATGTATGTTGGTGTTCTGTCTTGATTCTTGATCCTTGTTTCCTAGGCCAAAGAGCGCAGCAGCCGAAAAAGGGAAACACTTTGGATCCTTCACTAACAACTGCATACAATTGCAATAACACAAATTATATATAATGATCACAAATGCACTTGTCTAGTGAGACTCTTTTGGTGTTGCCGAGCCCGCACACATGGCATGTCGCCCGATGGCCTGGGCCCCAGAAACAACTTCGCAGCCAGCATGCCCATGAAGCCCACAGCACTAAACATGCTGATGTCACCCCTCAGGGACCTGATCGAACGAGCGCGAAGGAGAGAATCCATTCTACACAACAGCCAGGAGAAAAAAAATCAGGAATAGACGCGTGTCAAGGGGATATGTCAAGTGTAGATGTGTAGGGTGATTTGGGAGCTCGATGAAACCATAGCTTGAAAACAGCAAGAATGACCCAATGTCACTCCTTGCTGTCACACTGTAACACTTCGGCTGACTCCACAGAATTCATCTCAGTCATACACACAGGGATCAAGGATAGTCCGGACTCTCTAGGGCCCCGCAGGGTTAGACAAGTTTTCTGCCTGAGATTTTAAACAACGACTATACAGTATTCCCCATCACCGCCATGAAGCTGCAGAACTATCGATCAGTGTTCCTGCCAAGTGGCGACTTCACATGCGACTCAAAGGCCTTTTGGTCCACGAGCTCCTGCCGCTGCGCCGAGGCGACAACCGACGTCATCATGCGTAGCGATAGCGACTGCGCGGGGAACCCAAAGAACCCAAACGCAGACTCCAACCCACTAGATGTGTTCTTTTGACGGAGACTCTGCCCTGTCAGAGGCAAACCTTTTTGGGTATGTCATGGTACATCTGACGTCTGGTGGGCTCGGCTTCAGCATGGTTCATCCAGCCTCTTAGCTGGCAAATATCAATTGATTATTAGACGACGTGACATGCCACCAATGCTACTGGCCTGCCGACTTCCAACTCCATTCTGCCATGCACATTGTGAATGAGACGTGCTCAATCGAAATACTGACCGGTGCAGTACGTGACATGTATAATGCACATCTTGGCTCTTGTCACAAGTCTCGAGCGGCCGCCAAATGGAACAATGTCTCTTGCCCGTGGCACTCTCTGCTGCACTCAATTGTCCTCCTTCATGATCCATGGGGTGCTTGTGGTGGTCGTGCGGTTCTCGTGCTTCTTCGCAATTTGCCTGGGTATGATCCGAAGGGAAAGCCTGTGACACCGAAATAAAAATAACAACATCGAGAGGCCGACAAATACATGGTGAGAAATTGATCTGACAACGAAGAGCAACAAAAGGATAATTAGGATCTTAAAAAACCTCTAGCCTGTAGCCACCTGTTTGCCCAAAGCCTATACTCCTAATTGTGGCCCGACCCTCACACGACGACCAAGGCTCGCATACTTTTCCTTCTCGGAGTCCTAGCGTCGTCCGGAGAACGATGCGATTGTTTCTCTTCGAAGACCCCCTTGCTGTTCGCAACGAAAATTGGACTGGACTATCCAAACATGTGCATTCCATGATGTACCACGTCAGTCTACCAAACATCAAGAACTCAGAAAAAATGGCAGCTTAGATAGGCGGCCAAACGATGACCTCGTTTTGGGCCAAAAAACTTGGTGACTAACATGGTGCTCAATTCCGGTGACTAACGTGGGTTCTTTGCATCGTTGTAAGGCTGCAGGAATTGGACTTTGTTAGGACATCTCTTCAGGGCATGGCTATCTCGACACCTGCCACACGCTGGCGAGAGTTGCCACCATCAAGCCATTGATCTGTCTACCAACCGTGGCTTGTCCGTGAATGGCAACTCATTCTCTACAATCCAGGAATGTCCTACTCCACAACGACTTCCCGCTGTCAGCGCCTATATGTTATATATATATATAGTCTAGTTGCAGAAACCTACAGCCTACATCGTTGCAGAATTCGCCATTATTGTCACTGAGAGCTGACCAAGATTGCCTTCTATCCAAAGTCATGACCGATGGAGGTGCAAAAACACCTTAAGTAAGTAGAGCATGTGCCGCGCTGAGTGGGCCTCAACGTGCCCAATGTCATTGTCCAGGCTGGAACCTTGCGCGACGTCGGGATTGAGACAGTCTGCGTTTGTCGGCTGATGTCGGCCCTCAATGGAGTTGACCAGGTGTCCCAATTCTCACTCGCACCACACTAGCCCGTCCCACTAAGGCAAAGCTGTCATGACGTAGACTGCCTGCATACAATAAGACCAAGTGCATAACTCCCGGGTGGAAGTACGACCATCCCATAACGACGGACAAGCATTGACACCGCACTTCGGTCACTGGTCAACATGTCAAAACGCCTGAGGGACAGAACAACAAGCCAACTAACGGAGCCTCTGAAAGCTATTCAAACTGTTCAATCCACCTACGACACGTGGATCACCTGTTACAGGTATTTTCAATTCGTATTTAATTTAGTGTCTTATCATGTCTTATCTACATCTGTCCAACGGTAGCATGGTGATTGGTGATGATTGGATTTGGCCTCCTATGCAGCCGAGGAGCGCTGAGCAGTGGCTGGGTAGCTGCACCTCAATGCTTGGGGCTTGGTTCTGTTCCAGGTGTTCGATTCTTGATTAAGAATAAACACCAGCGGATACCAGCACAAAGAAACAAAACCTGTCTGACAGTCTGATCATCAGCTGATAGGATCAAGCACCTGCGTTCCAAATGAATGACGACTACAGTAGGTCAAAAAGTGCCGAGAGTGAATTAGACGGTGTGCAGGAGTAGTATCTGACCAGCTGATAAGAGTTGTGCAGCTTGAAGAACACCGAACGCAGTGTCATCATTTATCATGAACTCGGCTGAAACCACTTCCCGTGACGTTATTTAAGATCTCATAGGGTGAGGCCGCTCCCCCCTTCGAACCGGTTTTATAGTTCAACCCGGTTATGCTCCCTGAACTCATCATGGTTACAAGGATGGCATGGCCCTGAAAGGATTACCATATTCCTCATACCAAACACATGGTGATCCACTTCCATGATGATTTCACCGGGCGAAGGTGCACTTCCCCAGCCAGAACAGAATTTCACGGAAACACAAGTTCAATCCCAAAGGAAACACAAGTTCGATCCTAAATGCTCGGAAGTTCATGTTGAAATGACGCTCTAATTAAGCATTTTGGACACCACCTTGGGCCCCCCTTGGGCTCCGCCTGTGCTCCCACACTCGCGTGGATAGGCTTCGTGCATCCATTGAGCAAAGAGACGGCCATGAATCGGCACCTGACGTCGTTGGCTGGAAAATTCCCACCGTCCAATTCGACCGAGGTGCCCCGGGTGCGTCTTGCGAGATCTGCTTGAAGTTCAAATTCGTGATGGGTCGGAGAGGTAGCGCTATAGCTTTCCCACTGAGAAAAAAAGAACAACAACTAAGACCTGGAATGTGTTCGTCTGACTCACACTATTTTCCTGGTTGTAGATCCCCCTGCTTCTTGGACCCTGCTTGGCATCCTGGCAACGTCAAGATCCTTGTTCCGGCATTCGAGTACCGGCTGGTGTGGCGTATGCCGCGTGAAAACCCATGCAACATTAGTAGTCAGTGATTGGAGAACCTTAGGTTGCTGTATGTGCAAAGCTCAAGGCTCTTCATGGAAGCCTGCAGTCCCCTTAATTCATGTTAAACGAGCGTGGGTAAAACACATGTGAAAGGCAAAGTTTTGTAAATACTACAACCACGGTGTGCAAGTATTCCACACTCAATCCAAACACTTAGCCACCTTAGCCCCTTGTATACAAATGACAAAAGTGCCGCTCTACAGTTCTACATCTTGCTACCTGCTCAGCAAGCTAACCCCATCACCCATGACACGCCGCATCTGGGTGCTCGGGGCCATTCCACCATGATGGCCAGCCACATCGTCCAGAAGCTGCAAGAGTCGAGGAGACAGCCTCACCCGTCACTTTGGTGAGGACGCATCAAACTACGGAACAAGATAATCAGGATTGACGCATTCTTCCAGGACCCTGAGTCCTAACTAACGGCGACCGCCTGCCCAGCGACCTAGTCTGCCTTTACTTGCCTTCCACTTTGACCTTCAAACCAAACAAGCATATCTCAAAATCATTTGAGAGGATCTTTTTGACACATTTGAGCACTTGTAGAGAGTTTTCGCATGTTGATTTCAACACCAAACGTCTCCTCTTGGGATGTCTTTGGATGTGTTGTTTTCCAAACGAGTTCAGCCCGCGGCGTGCGGTTGGCCGGCTGGGAGGCGGAAGCCAGGCCGGAGACCTGTGATCAGCGAAGAGACCGGTGATGATTCAATCCAATCTGGTCATGATTTCAATGATTCATGGAAAGGTCAAGGACCTAAGGAATGCAATGTCAATCTGGATTATTTGTTATTGTTGCTTCAGCTTCACTTTTAGCTTCATAAAGGTCCAAGGAAGCCAGGCTCAGGATGAAGCCAGACCAATCAACAAATATGGTCAATCAATTATTGGTGAACGCCTATCAATCTGGCATCCTCCGTTTCTCCATCGCCAAATCCACGAAGCAATCTTTGTTATCCTCTGGCATCCTGCTGATCTTTGTGAACCCTTAACCGTTAGGTTAACCCTTAACCTGAGGATCACAAAGATCAGAGTGAAAGCAAAGGTCTCACCCACTGCAGTATATAACTTAGAATGAAGAGGGTGTCACAAAATAGCTGGAAATTGAGTCCCATCCCAAGTCTAGACCTTGACCTGAGATGATCCAACCGGGAACAAAAGGCAGCCAAACTTTGCTTCAGCAGTTGGAGGGTGGGTTGCCTGATGCTGGCTGGTAGGTTTGTTGATCCAGTGGAGACAATGGTGCTGGAAAATGCCAATGGACCCGCCCAAAAGAGCTCTGAAAAGGCACTGGGTCGGGAGGCAAAGCCTGATCATCCCAAACAAACCCACCAAATGAACGCCACGAACAATCTGGGTCGAATGCGTTTTGACCTGTACACCTTATTTGTGTCCCGATGTTTCAAGTGACCTCCAAAATACTATTGGCAAAATGGCACGATACAATAAACCCAAAACCGAACCTGTTTGGGATGTCTCTCCATCCCCCTCATGGGGACCCTCCAACACCGTTGGTGTAGAAAATGACACCAAGAAAATGCGCTGATGGCTGTCGACGGTACAACTACTCAGGAGCATCCTGCATTCTGATATAGACTAGTCCACTTAGAATAAATTGATTTCTTCTTTGCTCCCCACATGCAACACATCTGTCTCAAATTGCCTATTCAATCATGTTTTACATATACATATTCAATCATATTCAGATTCATGTTGTTCGCATTTCAGTTGGATACCTCGGCTTGGCGCTGAAAGCACCCTGTGCTGAGTTCCCGTGCCACATCCGCAATCTTCTCTGCGGTGCCTCAACTGGCTGCTGTGACCGGACGGGGTAACAGAACCAATGATATACACTGCACTTGCCTGCTGTTGGGAAGATCCCGGTCCCTGCCCACTTCATAAACCACACTTCTGTAAAGGGCTGTTCTAAGTGAGAAACCGTGAAACTGAGGGCTATGCTCTACACGTTGGTTACACTTGCCTAGATGCTTTGTTGAACACCGACTTCAAGTTCCTGTAGAATTAGAGGAGGACAATTATAGAAGGGAGATCTCACTGACAGTGCGTACCCTTGTCCGTTTGCTATTTCTTAAAGAGACATGAAGTGATAGACCATGATGCGGGGTCGCAGCTCGTGTCCAGGATGCTCTCAGAGCAGACTTCCAGTGGGCTGGATGGGATGAATCGCTTCCACTCGAAGTTCCAAGCTGCCCATGGGCGCTTCCAAGTTCTTCTCCACCTGAGGAAACACAATAGTCAATGTTCCTAGTAGCGATGCACTTGTTCCTAATAGCTTCTTGTTACTACTAGTAAGGCATTTGTTCCTAGTAGCGATGCACTTGTTCCTAAGACTCTTAATAACAAACACCTTGTTTCATTTACCCTTGTCAGCCAGCTTGGTCCAAAAGAAGTTCACTGCCTCACTGCTGCTGGGCTAACCTTTTGTTTCAAGGTTCTTGACAGTGGACAGGTCTGCAACCTGAGCAAACCCGAAAGCATCAACAAAACTGGTCGCACCTGATCCATCAAAGCCTCACACTCATCGAAGCAGCCTCAAAGCGGCATCTGCTGCATCACATGTACCATAGCCTGTTGTTCATCGTATCCACTTCTCACCTCCTTAACATACTGAATCCCAGCAAATGACCTTCAGCGGGTTTTATGGTTACCGGGCAGTAGAAAGGCATTATGCTTTGTCCATGAAAGAATAAACTACCAGCACTACCAGTTACACTCTTTCCAGGATGCCACATTTTCCTGGAATGCCTGGAGAATACTCGAGACCGGAACAACAATTCACTATAGAATGGGATTCTAAGGATTGTATACGCTTCCGCCTGGTGGCATCTTCTTGCACCCTCTCAGCCCCCTTTCAGGGACTTCCGTGCTTGTGGCCTGTGGTCTCACAGTGCACTGCCCAACATGACCCTGGCTGTCTGATGGCCACAACTAATCAGCTGCTCAGCTGGCAAAGTGAAAAAGTGCAGCTTGGAGGCAAATGCTGTAGTAACCTGGCAGCATAGGATCTCCATCTCTCAGCACAAAGGCCTACACCCACTACTAACACTTGTGCAACAAGTGTTTCTTGTGCCTTTGTGGTATGAAGAGCGTGATTTACCTGCCATGCAGGGCGCAAACCAACGAAATTAGACGGTGGTCGACAGTCCTGAGGATCCCTGGTGCAAAAAGTTAGCCCTTTGACCAGAAAGAACCTGGCGCAGGGTGGAAAAAGTGGAAGAATGGAGGCTTCTTATTCCCCTTGAGCCTCCCCACCTGTCCTTTTTCGGAAAGATCATAAGCTCGTTTGGAAGCCTGACCCATCGGTGACCGAGCCACCAGCAGGCTGAACGCAGTTGGATGGACTGGCCAAGTAGTTTGGAATAATCACCTGCATCAGGTCGATCACCACGACGCGCAAACAATCCAGAAACGCCACCCACAAGTGATTGTCCTGGCCAAACCCTGAACAACCACGACTGCAGGGCCTGCTTGCAGGAGTGCCATAAGTGGAAATTGATGTAAATTGGAATCTAAGGTGTGCTTTGGCAGTTTGAAGCCGCCTGAACTGCTTAGCATCAATCTTTGTTAGGTTGGAGTGCTAGTTGAGGAAAAAAGAAACTCGTCTGATCGACTGAAGCTAAAGCTGCGTTCATGGCAATCTACGAATCTCTTCCCATACCAGCCCTGCGATCCTTTCCCAGGGAAGCCCTTCGAAAAGTGTTTGCGTTCGACTTGTGGATTGAGATATGAAGAATGAGCCGGAGCGCTACATAGTACTACATTCAAGAAATAAACATGGGTCGTGCAGTGAGTGCATGCCTGGGCATCTCCTATGCTAGCCAGGCCATGTGGACTCGCCTTGGGATCTTCGGGATCTGATTCATCCAGCACACCACTGGAACGCAAGTATTCGGCTCCCTCCGTGAAGTGTTCCTGGCGTGCTGGTGGAACATGTGCTAAGTGCTATTCAGAAATCACAACAGCACTCTGCATCACTCTTCACTATTCACACTAGGAAGTGGTAGCAGGAGCCATTCGACAACAAAGGGTGGTAAATGGTAAAGGAGTTCCGGGTTCTGTATCTTGGCATGTTCGCAATCAGTCAAAGAGAGAAACGCACTCTCCAACCCCTTGCGCCCGGAATGCGCTTAACGAGCGCAAGGAACGCTTTGGACGACTTTTCTTCAAGTTTGAGCTGCGTGAGCTGCGTTTGCAGACTCCGTGAGGCATGTGGTATTCGATGAGCTCTAGATCTTCTGCACCATCCAGGTCCGTTTCCACAGAACTAAGTTACTTGCTTAAAACATTTTAGAACCCAAACACTCTAGTTTCATCTAGCAAAGAATCCAGCCGCTCACCTGCTGAAACAAGGATGCTATGGCCGAAGATGGGGAGTCCAATTCCACGTGTCAATGGAATCTTCTGCTTGCGTCGTGTGGCTGTGGGGTCGTTGGACTTCTAAAGGAACATGCTCCCAAGCCCCTGTCATGCGCCCCCGAGCTGTAGGTTTATCAATTCTCACAGCAGTGAGCCTTCTCTTTTGGCAAAGAAAGACACAAATGGCCAACAATCCAAGAATCACACCAACATACGTAACATGAGCGACATCTTTTTAGTGTCAAACATGTTCAAACCGAAGGTCCTACACTTATACTTCGTCTGTAAATCGTGGATTCCCCTCCAAACCAAGGCACCAAAGGCACGGCCGTCCATAATTAGAAAAGGCCGCGAAGAAATGTACCGAAACAATGCGCATAGTGGCTGGACATAGTGGCTGCACTGGATAAACAATCTGCACCTTGCAAACTTTGTCAGGATTCAGCCATCTAGGACAGACATGCTTCAAAGCTTGAATGGAATGTGACAAACTATGTAGCCTAGGTCGGATTCAGCAACTTGTTTGTGCTAAGGGGAAGTGATATCCTCCAAAACAGAACGCCTGGCAAATACATACAAAACATGTTTGTACAAAGAAGCGTTCTGGCCACTAGTGGCAGGGAGTATAGGAAAGTGCAAGGCGTGCAAGGCCCAAAAGAGCTCCAAGAAACCAAAGAAGCATGGCGTACTAAAAACCGGTTCTTGTTCTCAACATGTGAGCAGCTTTGCAAGGTGCAAGCATGCCACTCGGGGCTTGTGAAGTGCCACACGGCTGTCTCTGCAGCTTTCAGCAGTGACGCCGTGGGAAGCGGTGCATGTTGCAGCGCGACTCGCACAGGGCAGTAACACAGCAGTTGTATTGAGTGCTTATAGTACTATCAACGAGTATATATACTGAAGTTCAATGCTTCATTCAAGTCGAAGAATCGAATTGTTTCTGGTCTTGATATGGAGGTCCGCCCTTGGTTGGCCATGTCCGAAGACATGTCCCTGTAAACTTCTTGCCCTGCAGAAACTGCTAGCTTTTGCCAGCTTCTGCCCGCGCACGAACATGTGGAAGGGTCCATGCCACTACACTAGTTTAGTCTATTTCTTGGAAGAAATAACTACGTCCACTGCGTCCACTGCTTTCCGAAGTATGCCACCAGAGTCGTGGTATTGTCGGTGGAGCCTTGCCGCAAAGCAGCCTTGATCAGGAGCTCTGGAGCTTTCTCTGGGATCTGTTCAGCTGTACTTCGGTCAACGACGGCCCTCACATCTCCATCACTTAGGACATCCCACAAGCCATCAGATCCAATGACCAGCACAGAATCTAAGGAGACATCACGAGCAGAAACAAAAGGACACCAAGTGACACCCACGCTTTTCAATGAGTGATCTCCCAAAGCTCTAGAGACTCCCAATTGACCAACCACACGCCCTCGGACCACAAAGCCGCCTTCATGCTCCACCCGTTGAATTTCAGCAGGATCCGTCGGCCGGTGATCACGGCTGAGGCGATGTTCACCATCGTTCTTATCGATGACAATGGCACGAGAATCGCCCACATTGGCCGAATGAAGGCGTAATGTACCTTTGGATGAATTTCGATGGGCCAAAACCACCGTGGCTGTGCAACCGCACCGCCAGGTACCCAACATCTTCAGTTGATCATCCACTCTCCGAAAGCAACGCACGAAAGCGTCACTCACCGCCTCGTCGCTCATCTCCGAGAGCTTGCCCAGTTCATCCTAGCGATAAGAGAAACGATATACAGTATACCGTTAAAATCTAATGAGAGCAACCTACAACACACTCACACAAACAAATCTGATATATATATATATACATATATATATATATATACATTACAGAAAATTACAGTATATGTGCATAATTGTGCACATATATGCATATGCAAACCAAACAGAGCACATGTTTTGTTCTCTTACGGTAGGCTTGCTATGACATGTGAGACAGGTCAACGGGCTCTGGTACCGGCGGCCCCGCCGCAGGGCGGCCCCGCCGTTTGGTCCTGCAAAGTTGTATGGAGTTTCTGCTCACAAAAGTCCACAGCTTGACGTCCACCGTGACCATCATACACGGCAAAAAAGCCCCATGAATCTTCCGCATCCCCGACGAAGGGGTCAATCACCACGGAGCTGTCTTCCATGTGAGATCTGTAGTGGCTGTTGGCCTCCACACAATTCGGGACTTGGTCAAACGTCAAAATTGCGGTGCTTGTTCAAAGATACCCTGGAAGGATTGCCGACTTGTATAGTTTGACTTGATGTTTGCACAAACAACGTGTTTGTTTAAACCTGAAAAAATGTAAGCATGGCCACAGGGAAGGCGTCCTTTTGCAAAATTTCGCAAAAATTACAGGGGCGGTGCGGGTGTGCATACGGGCTGGCACACAAGATAGGCCTACAGGAGACCAAAAACTGACGGTCCCAAGGGAGGTGTGGGCGCACCTTCGAATCCTGCAGTTTTCCTCGGAACAGCTGGCAGCTGGGTTCTGGGCACCTCTTGGCACCTGAAAGCCTTGATGGGTGGCGGTGATGTCCACAGGAAAGTAACGGCACAAAGACTGAAGTAGAGTTATGAGTTATGACAAATGAATATAAGGAACACTTATTTTACTTCGAGGGATCCCCACCATGGCATTCTTCTCTGCTGATAACCGACGCCGATGAAAATGTCTACTTCGTACAGGTACTTGTAAGAAATGCATGTTATCCGGCATATATTCCATACGCATAGCACTAATGGTGGGGACCGGGGTCCCCCAACTGTTTATTTGATAGGCCCCTCAGTTATTGAACGTCATAATTGAATAAGAATTCAAAGAGTTCAAACATGATTCCACTGACGTCCAGCTAAATCAATGAGTACGGCTTTAAAAACAGTAAAATAAAACAACAACCAAAAATATACAAATTTAGGTTTTTAAAAATAGATGGTAGGCAACGAGAAGAAACAAATTGCTATGTTCATTGCTAAACGAAATGAAACCATAGCTCAGCTACTTTGATTTAATTTGGAAAATACATGGCCCTTCTGAATTACCTTTGGTTTAAGTAATTGGCTGATTTCATGTACAAACTAAACTATGGGTAGTCTAACCCAACCAACCGGTTTTTACGTTCTTGAGCTGGCCATTTGAAGACCCAGGCTGTCCTTTTGTAGCGTGCGCCTCAAAGCCTAGCCCCATGCGTAGCATTCTGGTGCTATGTGTCACGTAACAGGTCAACAAAATAGATCATTAAATTTCTGCTTGCGCTATGATTGGTTTCAGTTTCCAGCTTCGCAAAACTAAATAGTTAAAATTTATATAAATTGGAGGTCAGGGTGAACCTAATGTAATTTACACAGCGCATGAAATACAACATTCCGGCGCTCTATCTATCTGAAGTCTCGAAATATATTCGGACATTCTATGTGGCATATATTGCGCACATTCTATTTGGCAACAGTGCTGACACTCTTCTGGCACTCTTTCTCTCTGCTTCAGGTCTGGTGGTGCCCACTGCGATTTGGCAATCGCCTTTCAACCCGGTGCCCAATGCAATCTAGCTCCACTGCCATCTAGCACTCTGGCGGTGGCGGCTGTGATCTAGCAGGAGGAGGCGGGGGCGGAGGAGGAGGAAGAGGCGGAGGATGAACGGGACAGCTCTGACAAAATCCAACAACCCTCCTGGCAGGTGGGATAGATAATGACTATATAGAGTAAAGAAAAGTTGGAGGTGTCTAGAAAGGAGTATTGCGGCCCACCACACTTCACACACCAATAACATCCAATAACACGACACTGCACTGCACTTCCCCACATCACGCAGCACGACACTTCACCACACCGCAAATCACAAACAACGACAGTCACAAGTCCACATCTCCCATGGTCTTCTGTTGTTGAAACCTCCGCCTAGCCGCTCTGGCGGACATGACCGGGTAGCATTCTGCAATGCATTTCAGACTTCGTAGTGATGGATGTGATGGGTAGTTGAGGCCCAAACAGAAGGGGTTCAATTGGTCAAACTTACACACCCAAACATGTTTGGAAGTAACATCTTGAGCCCACTTGTAAACAATGAACATTTTAATTATGGGCAGCTCGCTTTTTCACTGGCCAATGTGTTGCAAATACCTCACATCCACCAGTTGTTGAGTGAGACCCCCGTCTGATGACTCCAATTCATCCATGTAAATATTCTTATAGATATAATAGTATATATTGTATTATATTACATTTTATTAGTGCGTATACATATTTATGGTATTATTAGTGCTGATAGAATTGCCGAGTGCATCTTAATCTCGCAAACCAACGTGTTGGAGCCACACCATGATGGGCATGTGATACCAAATATCAACAAAAATGACATCGGAATTCTTTCAAAGCCCCGCCTCGCAGGCTGTTCTGCAAAGGCTTGCAGTTGCCGAAGCACGACGATAACCAGACTTCAATTGCCTAGTTTGAGTTCTAGGCATTTGGCTCATTTGGCTTTCTCTACTCAAACATTCCATCCGAGTGGATGAGTTTGGATCCATTCGGGACGCTCTTCGAAAGCCACGGAAGCCATTCACTGGCGCTGAAGCACTACCCTGGCGACGCTCGCCAGGGTCGTCGTTCAGGCTTCTGAGCCTCCGGACATGATTTGGGAGTCCACGAGAGGAAGCTCGTGAATCATCGCTTCTGAAATCATAGGCTTGCACCTGATGCGCTTGTTTGAGAGGGATGGTGCTCTCCCGTGCCTCTTTGTTGCGAGCAGGAGAGGATGGCTGCTGGGCAATGGACGTCAAAAGTGTCCGCCCTGCTGTCCTGACGGCTCGGGCATCGATTGATGCTAAGGCCATCGCACAAGGTACTTGCTGGAGCCAAAATGGCCCTGGATACAGCAATGCTCGAGCAAGCTGATGTGATGAGGATTGGTCAAACATCCCAAGCACCGAGCCACAAAATATCTCGAAATGCCTGACCCATGCATCCAAGCTCAAGCCTGATCTGCGTAGAAGTCGCCCAAGCCTTGAGCAAATCATCCAGAAGCATCCCAAACAATGGACAACCATTTTGTGATGAGGAGTCTCATGATGACACCGGTTCTCCGTTTGGTGTTGAAGGACATGTTTGAACGCTCTGCATAGCATGGCAAAAGCGGCGAAACCCATTCAAGTGTCATATCCACCGTGTCTACTACACTTGAAAGTGCTTCATGGGTATACCTTGCGGTTTGGGTGCAAAGTCGTTTCCATCTATCTCACAATTAAATATTCAGTCCAAGTGACGCACTAGTCCATTGCCACCCCGATACTCGAGGGATGTCAACTTGGTCTTCATCACCTGCAGGTCAAGGTGACCAATTCTGGGCGAGATCATTCAACAAAAAGGAAGGGCCTGACAAATTAGTTATATAGATAGTCACTGTCCATGATAGTAAAACATCCTACCATCGCTCATGACTCCTAACAATATGATATTCAAGCCTTTCTTGGGTGTATACATATGTATACTGACAACCTGCGTTGCATTTGGCACACTGGACTCCACTTATGTGTACACCCAACGAATGTGACGCGGTGTTTCGCTCATTGCCTGGCATTCGTTGTCCTCCAATGCTCCCAGGCGCTGCCCAAACTTGGAGAGGATGGTCTGTAGAAGTGCGAAGTCCTTGGACACGAGAGGAGCCCGTCCGCACGGGACGTCCTCCTGGAAAGTTTCCCTCGGCGAAAGCCAAACATTTGGTGAACCGTTTCTTCTTGAGGATCAAGAGGGATCTCAATTGAAAGACATGCGTTGCGTCTGGCCAGCCTCAAAAAGCCCACCCACCCACAGTGGTCGAAGTTGAAAAATAGAAAGCACTACACGCCTTCTGTTGGGTGGAGGCTTTTTAAACTTATTAACGGCACGTGTATAGTATAGTATAAGAAAAACACATATACAATATAAATATGATGATATTACTATTAATTTTAATATATTGCTAAACAGTTTGCTAAATATATAAATATATAAATAAATATATAAATAAACACATGGAAACAGCCAAAATAGCAAGGCCCTGCATACCGCCATGAAGCTCTCAGGTCTTCCTGCTAAAGAAAGCAGCATGGAACATGAGGGGACCGAGCGCAGCATTGAAAAGTTTTCGGGTCAGCTGTTGCAGGATCCGCGACACGCGACTCGAGATGATGACGCATGACGGGTTCGGAGCATCTGCCCAGGTCCCGGGCGGAATTGGGATGCCTTACCTACAACACCACGTCAGAATGCAGGACGGGGATGGTCCAGCATCAGCATGTGCTTGCCAAACCACGGCTTTCAAGGATGTGTTCGTGTGTGTCTGCGTTCTCGTTGAAGAAAGTGACAGGTGTCCATCCTCCATGCCTGGGAGGTGTTGAACAAAAGATGCTCATAGACTGTATTCTTCAGACCTGCGTCTTCCCCAAGTCACTTGAGGGGCATGTGACAAGTAAGGCACCGGCAAGCATGTTGGTCGGATTCTTGTCGATGACCCGAACCCTGACTAAGTGTCAATGGCAGCCAAATGTTGTATCCTCCTGGCATGAGTTTGGGAGACTTCCTGCTTCAAGAAAGCCTGCCAAGGCTCATAGACAGCGTCACTGGCCGCAGATCCAACCACCTGTCACAGATCGCTGCCAGTTTGGCCCTGGCCCTGGAGGGCAAGACCCTTTTAAAGCCACTCCAATGTCCCCTATAAGGGACCCTATATATACAACGGCCATTCTACTTCCAATCCTTTTCTGGAGGGCTTGGTGTTTTCATCATTTGGTGTACCAACAATTAAACTACTGCATGTGTACAAACGTCTCACCCCTCGTCGTGGGTAAACCTGATGCTGGATGGTTGCAATCTCCGCTAAATCATCCATTTGTGGGTTTTGGCCGTAGCTCACTTGGTTGTCCAACCCTTCCTTGAAACTTTGAACAACGCACTACCGCACAAAATTGGGTGTCCATAAAAACCGCTGAGCTGCCCGTCGCCGGCACAGACCGCCTCATGAGCAATCTCGAACAGCAGTTCTTGGGCTTCCGCATGGCGGGGAAACCTGTGAGGGAGGCATGGTCAAACCACACAGCGGCCACACAGGCAGGCACCGAGCCAACACCGATATGTTTGCCATGTTGTCACCACGTTATGCTGTCAACACCTTTCGTATATGCCGTGATGCCACAAATTGTCAGCTAGAAGTGAACTTGTTTCTGACACCCTGAAGCCCTCGGCACCTGAAGGTGAATTGCCGTGCAGCTCGAGTCACATCTCCTCTCCAGTTCTGTGCTGCGCTCTATGCCACAAGGAGAGGCATTTGGATGATGTGTGTCGGCCCTCCAATCCAGGCCGGGAACTATGGTGCCCCCAAAAAACACATCACCAATAGAAGACTGGATTTGTAGTATGCTTGTGCTGTTTGGGGGAATGTCATGAACTTTGTAGGTCAACTTTGACATCTGGAACACTGAACAAAACAGCAGAACGCTCTTCAGGTTCTACACTGTGCCAACATGGTTTTTCTTTCAGCAATGCTCATTGGCTATCTCAATGGGGCCGATCTCGATCCATGCTGAACAAACTGACTGACCAGGCCTTCGGTCAGATTCTCCACTGGAACTCCTGTGACAAAAGCGGCCACCTGCGATGACTGAAATTCCACTGCGTGGTCCGATGTGGCATTCGTTGACAGAGTTCATGGCTTCGGGGCCTGATCACTTTGTAGGACTTGTTTGGTCAATCAACAGAGCTGTCCTTTTCAGAGCTGATCTAGAATCTAGTGCAAGCATGTGTCACCTGATCCTACTATATACAGAACCCAGGATCGGCAAAATGACCCAGCCAAGCAACTCGTGTGCTTGGAGTTCCTTGCAGCCAAGCAGCATAGTTCCACATCAGCGCATTGGCCTTCCCAAAGGGGCATTCAACTTCCAGGATCTTCTGTGGTGTGCATGGCTGAGAGTCACAGCTGGCATCAGAGTCCCTTTTCCATGCAAACCATGTCCAAACGTGACGGTCAAAACGAGTTGTGTGGGACATGGCCGTTTGCAGCATCACTTCTCAGGTACCGAGGCCGCCTCCATGCTATGTGCAAAACACCCGAAATCAAGTCCACACAAAGAGGATGCGTCATTTCCAAAATGTGAATGCTATCCAAAATGCATGGCATAGCCTGTAAGTGTTCTTGCCTACTACAGTTGGGCCTATCGATTATATTTCGAGGTAACGGTATCGCCCCAAGTATCGAACCGCGACGAAGCGAGTCGCGGTATCGCTCTGCAGCCTGCACGTTAGCTTTCTTGGATGTCATATGGACAGCATACGAATATATACTACTAAGATATATATACTGATATAATCTGATATACATCTGGGGGTATCGCTCTTCAAGGTTACCTATCTTCCCCATATGTTTGCCAACATGTGGTGAGTCATGGTGGCTGAACGGATTTACATCACGCGTATCGAAAATACAAATAGTGCTTACTGATGCTTAATGACTATCAATGACTTGGTGATGCACACTTCTTCCCAATACTGGCCGGGACATTTTATATACAGTCTATCAGATCTATCAGTAAGGACGCTTTCCAGGTTCTACCAGGCACAAGTCGTTCAATGTCGCGCCTCATCCCAGTTGCTCTTGGCCTAGGAGCGATTTCAGCACTGTACGACCGTGCAGGCTCATCATTGCAGCAGTGCAGGTGAAATCAGCGTAAGTAAATATAGTTAAATATATAATTCTGTTTGTATCATCTGACAACATCAACCAACCCACTTCCCTCACGGAATGCATGTTGGAACCCTGCATGCCTCCAAGGCCAACTGCCTCTCGCCATAAACGATGGCCAATCGCTGCTCCACATCTCGCTCGAACATTCCTTCCATCCTCACAGACCATGGAAAGGACTAAACCGATGGACGTTTTCAATGTTCTGGACATGTTCGACTACTACACACGGCTCTTTGCACCAGTCATGTGCAATAATAAACACCGCAAAACTACTGTCATAAATGCTATTGGCCCGGGGGGGGAACATGGGAAAACTAGATTCTCATGAAACTGGTTGTTGGGATTGTAGCATCCTTTGTTGGGGTGAATCATGAATCCTGACAAGTCAGAACAACCCCTCTTCGACCTCTTAGAGGATAATCATGATGAATGTACACTTCCTGGGCCACTACACCCCGCGAAAAAGGACAGCAGACCCAGCGCTCGATGAGCTGCGATCAAAGAATATCAAAGAATTAAGAAGCTGCCACTTCTGATCTGAATTCACTGAAGAACAGATAGGTCGACATCATTCCCATCCTAGATTTTGTATGATTTTGTCAAGTACCCACAAAATGGCCCACGTTGCAATCTGAAGCCCGTGGGAAACAGCCTTGTTATGCAGACTCCACCGGCCGCGGCAGGTCCACATGTGTTTTCAAACTGCTAGTTGCAAGGTTCAGGATGATGCATCGAGAGGAGCGAAAGGATAGTTGAAGCTTGTTGCAGATACACCCATTTGAGGTTCACCACCATCCCTGCGTCCGCCTGCTGCCATTCGGCTGGGCACCCCCACGTGGCGGCGAGGACGGCCAGCTCGTGTAAGGTCAAGCCATAAGACCCGAGGCGATCCTGGGCGTGGCATTCTAGCAGATCCGTAAGGCGTAAGGTTTGGAGTTGTGATGACATCGTGCTTTTGCACGTTCGCTTCTGACCGGGAACGCCTCAAAACATCTCAGCCAAACCACATGACATGGGTCGACACATAGATCGACATGGGATTTCCGAGAGGACTCCGTAAACGCAACCAATTGCCGAGTCTCAAAACTGCCACACACCATCCAACTTGTTCGATCTTAGCAAGGCCTTCTGAGATTCAGAATTAGAACTGTCCCATTCCAGTGACCAACGACGTTTGGTTGGATCAATGGCCTGCCCTCGAAACATGCTACCCTCTCCTCAAAGAGTTCACGCCTCGGCTGGAGGGGCTGAGAAAAAGGATACGTATGATTCATGTGTATATATATATACACACAAAGTTAATAACAAAGTAAGAATCAAAGCCGACACATTCAAATGATTCAAACTTGTCTTAGACAAGTTTGAATCATTTGAATTGATTAAAAATAACTACTAGTTTACATAATTATAGTATAGTTAATTACAGTAATTGCACAAACATAAGTATTTATAGAGTATTCATGCATGATAGAACAACAATACGTCTTGAGCCTTGCAAATGTCTCACATGTTCTCACTTTCCAAAAAAGGACGAGTGCCAAGGCAGCACTGCGAGCACTTTCTCAAGGAACATTGTATCCGGAAAGAGGCATCAGCATCAGCCAGAAAAGGATATTTAGAGCATTTTAAAGCCAAATGGCAGGAACCCTCAAAGCACAAAGATTCACCAAAGGTCAACCACAACCAAAACATAGAAAGAGCCCTCTTGAAGGCCTTCGGCACGTTTTGCCTTTCTGTCCTTTATCATCAAAGACGTGACCTACTCAGGTCTCCGTACATCTGTGGAGGGACACGATCTCCCATGGCAAGCACTGGTGACTCCAAATTCCATGAGCCTGGCAAACCAGGATCCACGTGTGCGCGAATGTCAGGTGACTGCTCCACGACACGTCCCTTGGCGACGATTGGGAGGAAGAGGGCACAAAGGAGTGGGCCTGGGCCAGGGGTGCGCTTTCACTGAGACAAAACCCCCACATCACAGACGAGCGATGTCTGGGCGGCTCCAGAATCCCAAGCAGTCAGACCCCTCATAGCCAGTCAAGTCTTTGAAGGGGCAGACCGTCAGAGACTGGCCAATATGAATCTCCAAAGACCCATCCGTCCCAACAATTCCGAAGCAATTCTCATAGAACTTGTTTCTGTTCCAACCAACTCCCACATTGAACGTACCGACGTACCACCTGAGCTGACGGCCCCAAACGGCAATTCCGCCTCCACACGACCCCAGAGACTCACCTCCTGCAGACTCCAAACCCTTGATCTGCCAACCATGGCGTTTGTTGAAGAGCCTTGGCAGGGGTGCATGTCGAGGTTTATCCAATCGTGCCGCCTGTATCATCCTGTATCCGTTGAGTGTGTCACAAAGTGTTTGCGTGTATATACAGTGGCAGGGTCTTGTTGCATTGAAAGCATGTTCACAGTCATGTTCACAGCATGCCCCGTGCCTGTGCAGGGCATAGCGTGCGGAAGGTGCCTCCAAAGCACCGCGCTGGTTTTTGGGAAGCGCCTGCAGAAGGCATTCAGCCACTTTGAGCGTAAAGCAATTGCATAGCAATCTTAGGCCTTCCAGAACACGTTCATCCAACACGGCTTCTTCTTGTAGGGTTCCAACGGCAGCCTCCCTGGGATCCAAAAAATGGAGCATTCGGCACCTGAAGGGCTCCTCTACTTCCAGTTCAAAACCCTTTCAATTGAAAACCACCGTTTTGTCCTGCCTTGAAGGTCACTCGTAGGTCGTCTTCCAATCCCTGCAGCCGACGCTCCGCCGCCTGAACTACAGCAACGGGATTTGTGCCAAACGGAGGCGCTGCTTGAGTCCACCTCCACCTAAGGCCAGAAAGCCCATGAAAGCCCCAATCATGTGGTGAGCTTTTGATTGAAGATGTTGCCTACTTCGATGAATCACAAATTCAAGGTTCTTAGGTAGGGTGAGAGGAAGACTGAAATCTCAAACCCTCGTGGTTTGGATTTCAGCGTCGGTTTGATGCATCTGGATGCTGACCAAATGCACTTCATTCATTCAGATTTGTTGGCTGCAAAGCATTTCGACGTTCGTGGATGATTCTGGTTCGTTGTCACTCGGACGAGATGCTCATCAGGAGGACCTAAGGGCCAAGGCGGCCAAGGTGAGCCGGCCCGAACTTCGGAAACCTTTAGGCCATCATCAGGAGGCATACCTGGTCTTACCCCAACCTCAACATTCCAGCTGATCAGTTGCAGAGTGAAGTTTTGGACCTCCAAAAACCATAATTAATAATCATATTGGGTCAAAAGAAAGTGAGGATCGAAAGGTGTCCCAAGGCCGAATGTCCTAGATAAAGAAGAAACACCAGGAACCACACACCCCTCAACCCCACCCCAGCGCTCTTCTTCTCTCCTCAAAGGCCGGTCCCTCCGATCCCTTCGCCTCCCGGTGTCCAGCGCCCAAGACGTTCTCAAGCTCTTCCAGCAGCGCCTGGGAACTGAGAAGTGCTACGAACCAGCCAATAGGCTAGTGTAGCTGGTGTATCTTGCAGACAAAAAGCACACCTCCACAGTTGGTGGGTTTATGTTGGTCTACAGCTGTCTAACCGCCCCTGCAATGGTCCAAAAGGGTCTGAGAGACGATCCAACACAAAGCCAACCAAATGACAAGCTGCAACATCCTCAACCCCCCATCGCGCTGCCTTTGGCTCGTGTGGCCCTCGGAGTCCCGTCTTTTCGACCTCATGAGGTGACATAGGCTGAGACATCCGAGACTGAGTGACTTGGGTGACAAGGATTCACAAGGCCAATGTGTGGACCTGGTGCATCCTGGCGTGGAGGCCAACATGCATGCGAAAGGAACACACTAACGGCGAAGGGCCAAGACACCCTGGCCTGGCGTCGGAAGCCCTCGACCTGCGCCCAAAAAAGGGCGACAAGGGCCAACCTGGCCATCAATCGCGCCAAAAAACCGCGTGTCGATTGTGTCATGTGCTTTGGGTCGTAACTTGCAATGGCGGCAGTTGGTGCGCTTCCCTGGATGTTTTGTGCTGTGTGGAACCAAAGCCATGGGCTTTGACGAAAACACACATGCCAATGGACATGGTATCAAGTTTTGTGGCATGGTTCTTCATGACAAAACCCTATGATTGGCAGGTAGCGTAAGCGAGCAAAATAATTCGATATAGTTGATTTGGTTTGACATGTTCATATTCGAAGGCCCGGTCGCATGGCAGGGCACCTCTGCATAAGCTTCATTGGCACGTTCGTCCAACAGACCTGGGCGATTCTTCAAGATTCGGTCGAGTGAGTGACACCAGGATGTCAAAACAACTATTACATGTCCTGATGAAAAGACCTAGGGCTACAGAAAACATGAGAAGTATGCTGGATCAACAAAAATCCTTTTGCAATCCAAGCCGCCAGAAATGCCTGGTAAGAGCAGCCGATGCTTGGGGCAAACGGCTGCGGAAAGTCCAACGAATGGCCCACAAGCGTTGGGCCGAAGGTCAAGCATTACAAAAGATCCAAATTAACTAGTAGCTTCTTGTTACTAGTAGCGATGGCCTCTAACCTAATAGCGATGACCTCCGCCTACTAGCTTCTTGCTACTAGAGATATCTAGAGATTGCATCGTTTGTGCCATCACCCTCTGAGAAATCAAAGAGCTGCATATTATAATAGCATATCCTGGATGTCTTAATCACACAGCGGCTTCGTGTTTCGTGAGCTTTATGTTCACCTGTCGAAGACCCTCAGTAGTTTTTTGTCACTCCAAGCACCCGTGCCCTTAGCTCTTCCAAGACTCGCTCAAGAACCTGGCGGGTCCGTCGACCGAGTGGGTGGGGAACATGGCTGACACGACTCTCTTGCACAGAATGCTTTGAGCCGGCCTCCACCGTATTAGCTTTGTGCTACTAGTAGTATGGCCAGGAGCTACTAGTAGTGTCCTGCTCGTAATAACGTTACCCTTTGTTACTAGTAGTTTTTTTAACGTTTTGTAGATCTTCCAGTTGGTCCCATTGGTCGAGAGCAAATCGATAATGGACTTGCACCCCAGAACTTCTCCAACTGCTCTGGTGCTGTTGTAGCTGATGGAGTTGTGTACTGTGTCTTTCCAGGTTGGGGACCTGGGATGGTCAAGCCCGACATGGACAAAGGTCGCTCGAAAAAAGAATAACCGGGCAGAACTGAACTCAGGCGTTCGCGAGGTGGAGGACGATGGCTTATAAGGGAATTGTAGACTTGCCTCTCCATCTTGATGTGTCGGGCTCAAAATTTGACAGTGTCACAAGCTCGCGGTCGGCAGTTCTATGATTCTATCTCAAGTTTCTGTCTCCATGCTGCAAACCGTTCTTTTTTCGGTTTAGGTGCTGGGAACGCTAGTCTTGCGCGCTGAGGGTCAGAGATGGGCTTTGCAGCTCTTTCAGTCTGCTGGGGAGGGTGACTCGGTGCAAGCCCCGCTCCACCGCAAAACCGACCGCCAAGGACTCAAGGCTATTAGGCCATATGACTTAAACCACCGAGGCTCTGCAGGCCATTTGGGAAAGCGAATCCGTGCAAGACCGGTTGAACGTCATGCCAAAGTTGAGAGATTCAAGTGAACTTGGCAGTCACTCCATTCATTTCTTGATCAAAAGCCAAGAAAGAATGGGGAAAAGCACAATGACACTTCGAAAGGATTTCGAAAACAACGGAATGCGGACCAGTGTCTCAGGCAACAGCATGATAGATTCCAAAATGATTCCCGAGTGAGCCGCAAATTCCTAACACCGACTCAGCTCATCAACATCCAACTGGGGAATAGGAGTGAACGAATGGCCCAGCCTTCCATTGTCCCGAATCCCTCTCCCAGCAATCAACTCCCCAACCCACCTGCGGCCGCAACTTACAAGCGCAACCTTGGCGACACAGCGAACCCGGCGTCTTCGTTGTGAGGCAGGGATGGCAACGTGGAAAAACCAACGGGACCATACTTGGACCAGTACGCCCCCCAAAGGCATTCACGACGATGGGGACAGAGAACAACACCCCCACGGTGGCCTTACAACATGAAGCCGCACGTCTTTTCCTCTCGCTCCACCAGGGTCCACCGATGAAGTCGAGCGCAGAAGGAGGAGCCGAGCACCTCGGGCCGGGCCGGGCCGTTGGTGCCAAGACGTGACCGGGCCAAAGCTGGAGAGTTCCAATGACTCGTGTCGATCAGGTAACGTGTCTATCGACATGCATTGGAACCCCATCATATACACATGGATTCCACAAGAAAGTTCCCCCCCTCGAGAAGGCTTGAATATAGATATTGAATGATATTGATACACATGGCCTACACACAAGAAAGAACGAGCTATTGTTACAAGTTAGCTGTTCAAAGGTCAGTCAGCATCCAAGTGATTCACATGTCTTCATTTGCTTCCTAAGGGGCTCGGGACCCTGCATCAAGATATATCAAAACAACAGTCATACTATATATATATAACTATATAACTCATTATAACTCTAGCTGAATCACCCAAGAATTTGTTGGAGTCCTGGGAAGGTAGCCTGCAACCACCAATCTCCAAACAAAGAACACACAGTGATCCTTTTTGCTCAATCAATCTCTGCAACTGAAGATGCTCAAGAGGCGTGGCCTCAGATCAAACTCAATAAAATGATCTGAGCCAGATTTCCTGAAATCTAGAAGCGCTCATTCCGATGTAGCCTGACCTCACACGATCGCCAAGTGAACCACCTGCGGAAATCTTCCCGAGAGACATGTCCAGTAGGAGGTGTCGGAAACTGAGGTTAATGAAACACACACACTGCCCGAAGGTCTCCTCCCCGATGTCGAGGGCCTTACGCTTGCTGTAGCATGCTGTAGCTGCCATGCAACGGTTGAGGCATGTCTTCGTGCCACGCATTCAAGTCTTTGGGCCAAGCTAATCATTCATAGCGTAAAGGTATTGATCATAGGCTGGGCTGGTCCCACCACCCCATGATACAACGGAGCCATCGCTCTTCAGGGCAGCAAATCCTCTTGCATTGGCTTGGATCTCAGCCACATTATGCCTTCCGAGGACCAATGGAAGATGTGTGTGCAAGATTGTGCAAGTGTGGTCCCCAGAGCTGAACAGTTTTTTAAGACATGTTACTCCGCTGGTCATGAGTCAGGGTGATGGGGTTCGACCTATTCAATCTGGCTTGCCATAAGGCCCATGTGTCGAGTAAAACCACAGATGTAAGAAGCCCCAATTGATAGGTGAATTGCGTTTCTTTACTCCGGCCCCGCGTTCTTTCTCGTTCGGACGTGAGACACATGTGTCGGCTTCCCAGCCAAACCGTTCAAAGGAAGAAATGCAAAACATTGCTGGCACGTCCTCACCATATCTCCAACACAGAGTTCTGAAATGCACACCGCACACAAGGGGGAAAAAAATTGAAAACATAATAGTAGTAACAGTATTATATCTATATAAATATAAAACTAGATATTATAAAAGAATCACCAAGCCACAAGTGCTCCTGAACTCCGCTGCTGTCACCTCCTTCTTCAGGAGCCCCCCAGCACATGACCTCCCCGCCCTCCACCAAAGCTGCAAAGGCGCTCCGCGTCGCTTGCAGGGCCTTGACGGGGCCGCAGAGCGGTGCATGCGGCGTGGTGCCACCGAAGAGCGGGGCGCCCCAGCACACCACGGTTCCCGAGCGCAACAAGGCGCAGAAGGCCACCCGGGTGGCCTGGACACAGCTTAAATCAGAGTGGATGCTCGGAAGATGCACTGATGTCCTTTACCGCACGACATGTCCTTTCAATTGCACATGGCAAAGCCAAAGCGTTGAATAATTCCTGACAGTTGATTTAGTAATGTTTAATAGCAAATTGACGATAGCAAATTGTAAACCACGGTTGCAAATTGCTCGTCCAAAGCTCCTTGTGCAACTAGCACCCACACACCCACAGCCCCCGCGACATGGACCAAAAGGCCTGAATTGCTTGCACCTCTTTCAGCTGCTCCTGGACCGCATCGCTGTCACCCCCGTAGCCCTTACTGCCCCATGTCACCACAGAGCCATCCGCGCGCAGGGCGCAGAAGGCGCCGTCTGTTGCTTGGAGTGCCAGGACACTCCTGGGACGAAGTGGGCTCTTAGGTTGGATGCCATCGCTCTTAGGTTGGAGGCCATCGCTAGCAGGTTGGAGGCCATCGCCAATTGGTGGAGGTCACCGCTGTTAGGTTGCTTTTGCTTCTAGGTTGCCAACGTTGACCAGCATGGGTGGCGGCGTTGGGGGTGCTCCAGTTCCGCCGAGATGCTGCAGTTGGTGCTCCACCGAGCTGCTGTCTCCACCCAGTTCGCCCAAGCCCCAGGAAATCACAGCACCATCAGAACGCAAAGCTGCGAATGCAGCGTGCGTGGCTTGGATCTGCTGGACAGCCTTCAGCTGGCCTGCACAAAAAAGGCAGTGAAGATTACCCTCTTGCTTTTCCAGGGTCTTCCAGCCTCCTTGATGCACACAGAACCGTTTTTGAGGTTGGCTTATGCAAATCATGCACCTGGAAATGCCCCCGTAATTTAATGCTCCAACAACACACCAACCTTCCTACTAATACATCTTCCGCAGCAAAGATGGGGGACTACTGCAGCTCGAAAGAACGACTGTGCAAGTTGATTCAAGTCCCCTTTGTCAAGTTGTGCTGCGTTGGGTTACTGCAACATCTGCAACCTTAAAACATCTTAAAACTATGTCCACCACATCATCAAATATGAAAAAACGGATGATCCAGTTCACTGGTCCAACAAACCCAAGCCGGTCGAAGAAACAGCACCATGCCTTGCACATGCTCACTCTTGGCACCGTTCTGCGCATTGCCCCAGGTGACCACATGTCCATCTTTGCAAATGGCTGCAAACGCAGCGGTGGTGACCTGTCAATGGCAGAACGGGTGACAAATCTCTTGATCCTAACTCCTCTGACATGCAAGGGGTATGTAAATCTACCAATATATCTTCTTGTCGGCTCACCGCCTGGATCATCTCCACCTCTTTCAACTGCTCTTGAATTTCCTCGGATGATCCGGAAGCGCTTCCCCAGCTGAAGGCGCTGCCGTCGGCACGGATCACGGCGAAGGAATCCATGTTGGCTTGGATCTGCATCGATCCGGTGGACCATCTCTCTCCCAGGTGGGACTATCGCTTCCACTCTCTCAACAAGACCCCAATGATCGTAAAAAGGTAAAAAGGACCCGTGGTCCCCCCAATTAAATGAGTCAATGATTCTCAAATATTCCTGACGTCACCAAACCAAAACGAACAAACCACGTCCCGAGTACCCACCACCTCCTCTTCTCCACGCCTGCCGGACGTCGTGCAGCTCGTCGTTCACCTCCTGTGAGTCTCCGCCGCTGTGGGGATCTCCCCAGGTCACCAAGGAGCCATCGCCCAAGAGAGCGGCAAAGGCGCAGCTGGTTGAATGAATCCTCAGGAAAAGAACCAAATGACCATCCGTCCAGAGATCCCCATCAGACCAAGAGGACTGATCGTTGGATATTAACAGGTGCATTGCATTTAAACATAAATACATCTCTCTTGGATTGAGTGCTTCCAAGCTCTTCCAAGTATCTCCTGGACATCCACCAGCCGCGCTTGTACACTGCTGCTGTCTCCGCCATCACGGGGACTCCCCCAAGTGGCCACTGACCCATCAGAGCGCACCGCGGCGAATGCCCCGAGGTTGCTACGGATCTTCACCACGTTCCTGTGGAGTGGGGCATCGCTACTAGTAACAAGGACGCTGCACAAGTGCTACAGGTCCTACCGCATGTTCTACGCAGCTTCGTTCAGCAGCCACAAAGGACTGACGCGCCCCAGCAAGCATGCTGAGTACATGATAATACCAGTGCACTAAGGTCCCCTTCTCTCGTACTCTATCCAACAATTTTGGTCCAAACCGTGAAACTATATAAATGTGATTAAAGTAAAAATAGATCACAAATAAAAGCTATTGCAGGGAGCTTCCGCAAGACTTGACCGCTGCAGTCACCTCCGTGCTTGGCAGGCCCCCAGGCCTCAACGGAGCCATCAGCCTTGGCCAAGTCCATAACGTTCAAGGAAAAACCACGGACCTTGTCCCAAAGCAACAGAAAGGAATGGGGGTCAAAGCATTCCAAGGCACACACATTCCAAGCCATGGTGCCTGCTAACTCTCAAATCGAGTTTCCCATCCCAGTACTTGCTTAAGTTCACTGGGGTTGATCCGGTACCTGGTTGAACAGTCGTCCTTTCGCCCGAGCCGGCCTTCACACATGCAAAGGCCGTCATGGATGCGGCCACTTTGGGCCATTGCCCGACGATTGCGGTGATTTCCTCCTGATCCGCCAGAGCACCATGGAGGGCACCGTGCGGTGGCAACACATGGCCGCTGCCAGTGACCAAGTAGCTGATGGGCGTAGCCAATTCCTCACAAAAAAAAAGGAATTGGAGCTCCTTAAATCAGGCAACAATGATTAGATGAAATTCGATACCGTATTGATTCGTTTGCATCATATGGCTGCGCGACTGATGACTGGTCCAACATTTGACAGTGGAGATCCCAATGGTTCCAACTCCAACGATCGAAGATCCTAACTACTCCACCGCCACCACTCCTGCTCCGCCCGGTGTCTCAGCTCGGACACCTTCGCCTCAGGCGGCAGCTCCACTTCCACAGACTTCCCGCTGGCGAGGGAGACGCTGATACGGATGGCCATGGGCGCTGCGGATCGGCTGAGGTAGTTGACCCCCGATCTGCACCCAAGTATGAGGATTGCCACAAGAGTAAGGCAGGACAGGAAAAACTGTGAAATTGTGATCCTGTGTCCTAAGGCTGATGTGCAACTTGTTTGGGGTTTTGAAGCATTGAGCTGTCGCCAGAACGATGCAGGAGGCGCAGAATCATGATCAAAGGAAGTTTAGTTTACGAAACTTCCGTGTTACGGACATTCAAGAACTGTTCATACACCACTCATCAATACACCACTCATCACCACTCATCATACACCACTCATCAATACACCACTCATCATACACCACTCATCATACACCACTCCTCATACGCCACTCATCATACACCACTCATCATACACCACTCATCATCCAGTTAGCTCTAGTTTCAAGAGCTCTAGCTCCAGTTAGCTCTAGTTGCAAGAGCTCTAGCTCCAGGTCGCTCTAGTTTCGAGAGCTCTAGCTCCGGGAGCTCCAGTTAGCTCTGGTTTCAATAGCTCTATAGCTCCAGTTTACGTAACAGGCGCAGCACTTTGTGAACCTCCATGTGCAGATTTCGTGGCAGGCACAGCACCCTGTCAACCTCCATGTGCAGATTTCGTGGCAGGCACAGCACTTTGTGAACCTCCCTGTGCAGATTTCGTCGCAGGCACAGCACTTTGTGAACCTCGATGTGCAGATTTCGTGGCAGGCGCAGCACTTTGTGAACCTCCATCTGCAGATGTCGTGGCAGGCACAGCACTTTGTGAACCTCGATGTGCAGATTGCGTGGCAGTCGCAGTACTTTGTGACCTCCATGTGCAGATTTCGTGGCAGGCGCAGCACTTTGTGAGCCTCCATGCTTCTCCGAACCTCGACGGGCAAGCTCCGCGGAACGACGGTTGCGAGACGGTCTCGGGCCATGGTCGGATCATTCTCGGATCATGCTCAGAATCGTCCCTCCATTGTGGTTAGAGTTTTCACTTGTTTCTTGAAGTGCAGATTTCGTGGCAGGCACCGCACCTTGTGAACCTCCATGTGCGGATTTCGTGGCAGGCGCAGCACGTTGTGAACCTCCATGTGCAGATTTCGTGGCAGGCACAGCACTTTGTG